CTTCAGTTCTTGCTTCCTCTCCTCCATTCGTGATACCGATCCTACGCATTCGTCTGCAGAACAGAATTTTACGGAATTCATTCCTGAAAATGGGGTTCATCCCGGCGTAAATAAATGGATTGATTGTGTTCGACAAATAAAGAAGAATCATGCACAACAGTTCTACGTTTCTCGGCATAGTCGCTACGAGGTGGAAACGACGCAAAACCACAATGATCCAAAATGGGATCCAACATATCATGAACGCAAACACGACGGCGAAGAGAGATTTACTCAGTTTTATTTCACGCGCACTGATGCTAGTGTTATTCTGGCGTGCCTGGTTTGCCACTAATCCGTCGGCCTTGTGTTGTCGAATCGTTTTTGCGACCTTTATGTAACTGAAGATTGTAGTTATTAACGGCGTCAGAAAGAAGAGAGTAAGGACAATTCCATAGTGAATCATTTTTCCACTCTCGCTGAGATGGGCAATGGAGCACTGTGCATAACCGGGAACGAACTCGAATGCTTGAAGCCCAGCCAGACGTGGCACCACAGTGTAACAAGCAACTAACGTCCATACAACCCCGAGTAAAGCGCACGACTTTCGGGTAGAGAACATTTTTCTGTAAAGCCCGTCTGACTTGCACATTCTCACATAACGGTTAGCTGCAGTTAGTCCCATAGTTACGGGTGAAACATAGATGACAAATAAACTGAAAAATGCATGAAGCTGGCAAATTTCCTCACCGAAAATCCATTTGTTGGTAATCAGCACTCCAATAGCATAAGGCATAACAAAGATGGCAGAAAGCAAGTCACTCACAGCTAAAGCGATAATATAAATGTTTGTTGTTGTGCGTAGTCGTCTGTTTCTATACACTGAGATGCAAACAAAGGTGTTACCTGTAAAGGATAAAACGTTTAAAATTACGACCGAGATGACTTCCACAACTGTTAAAAACAGACCACGGGAGTTCAGATTGTCCGTCATGGTCCTTCAGGTAGGAACAATTTCAGCGTAAAATCCTTTTTCCTCGTTCGCTCCCAAATAAACTTATTTCCCCTTTTGCTTTTCCTGTTTTATTCAGTTGACCAATATTGAAATCATTAACGTTTATAGTAGCACCCGTTAATCAATTATACCAGCGAATGAACATGCATTAGATATTTACTATGTTGGCAATATCCTCAACAGTGACAAATTGAAGCCCAAAATTACGATGAAGTTAAATTATTGCTATTATCAGGTTTTATGTTTATATTCCGGCCATCAATTCTTCTTGTGTTTACTGATTAACAACTTGAACCAATCTTTTATATGCTTTGTTATATCACGTATTTCCTTGTGCCTCAAGCCATGTCCGTGACATTTTTTCATATTTTCATTTTGTTACTGACACACTGACGAGATTCCTGTAGCTAACCTTAATTTAAACCACGGCTTTTAACAATAGATGGCTTCACTTGGCTTGATAAAGGTTTCTTGTTTTATTTAAGTTCATTAGTTTAATTTTTAAGGCACATGCATACATAATTCAGTATTGTCTAAAAAACGAACTAACCGCAGAGAGCTTTAATGTAGCTGTGTGTTTACTACATATCCAGGAAACAGGAAAAGGGACGTCATGTCTTTTTATAGGTACTTTATCATAAAAATAATTTAGCACGGAAGGGAATTTAAATAGCATTCTTTTTCTCAGACTGTTAAGTTTCGGGAGGCCTGTCTTGAAAGTTAGAAAGTAGTTCAGTACGAATTAATATTTTGCCTATTTTTAGACCTTTGATAGCCACCTGGAAAATGCGAATTTACTATATATCATCGTTAATGATTTTCATTGTTTGTTTCCTGAAGACACAGAATTCCTTGTTCCCGCAATTTTTATTTCAAAATTTTCTTTAGTTATAAAGGTGTTTTCCAGTCCAATTTTCATTCGCGTAATATAACCATTTTTGTGAAACTTTTTTTCAAGATAAATAATCATCAGGTCAAGAGAACGGTACGACGAAAAAGTCTAAGGATCAACCGGATTTTGCTAAAGTCGGTTGGACCATTTAAATAAGTAGTAATTGGTGTTTGGTTCCCATTTTTGAAGATCGTTTGAAATTTTCAAAGAAGTGTTTGGAGTTTACTGTTGGCTAAAAAAAGTCACATCTTCTTACGCTTTCCTATGAAATTCTATTTGGATTGCAAACGGTACCTTTTTACATTCAACTCTCGCCTTGCGTACAGCCCGAAACTATGAAACAACAGCTAAACCCACGGCAAAAATTGTAAACGTCTGACCGAAAAAAACTCCCACAATTAAATACTCTAGTTATCGCAGACGTACTAGTGATGACATTTCTCGGGCCCGGTTTAATTTGCAGGTGTCGGGGCGAATGTAAATAAAAGTGTTAGGATTAGGATAACCGTTCAAGTTACAGGAACTTTAGTCACACCTACACATCTCCAAATTAAGCCCTCTGTAAATTGGTACCCAGCAAATAATTTCTTAATTGCAAGTGACAACTACTGACAAGTACCAAGTAATGATCAGCCAGTAAGTGTTGATTGCTCGCAGAATTACCATTGCTACTGTCGTTAGAGCTGATTTATGGGAAGAGGCAGGGTGATCAGCTCCTGGCAGGACTTATTATTTTTTCCTCCGACAAACAGGTCAAACGACAAGAACTTGTATTGAACAAAACTAGGCGGAGTTGTGGTTTTTAGAGGAACAATTTTGAAAAACGTAGTCTTCCATCCTTGGAGACCCGGGGTGGATTGGACCCAAAAGATATTTTTGTGCCCAATCAGAGACAAGCATTCAAATGAGTCGTGAAACTGGTTTGTTAACAGTAGCATCCCAGGGGTGATCTCGCTCGTTCTTGAAAACTTTCGCCGCCGCTTTTCCGCACCTGGCTGACCCCCACTTGGTCTCCAAGGATGGGTTTTTTTGTCCATAAATAATCTTTTAAACTGTTTTTATCTTTGTTAATTTTGCTTTGATTAGACAACTTACTAATACCAACAAGTGAATATTTCATCAAAAAACTCGTTGCTTGGAATGGTTAGGTAACATGTCAGAGAGAAACTAGTTTCGGAGGTGACTGTTGTGGTCGAGACCGTTGGAGTTTGAACTCGCTCACGTCAGAAAAAAACAGCTTGAAGTGAAGCTATACAACCGGAGAGAAGTTGAAATTGAAAAAGATGAAAGCTCACGAATAGTAAGTGGAAAGCGAAACCACCAGCTAACTACTAGCAAGCAGCTTCTGTACCCAGGCTCCTGGGGTTCTTGGTCCGATTGGACAGTTGGTGGACTGGGACTTTCCAGGTAGGAGGGAGAAACCGGAAAATCCACCATTTTCACATCTCAGATTACACACATTGTTTGCTCTCCAAAGTTTTGCATAATCTTCCATTTTAATGCCGACACCAGAAGTTATCCGGTATAATGTGAACACGTATCCTGTGATATGTGACTCTCCGCTTTAGAGATCGGCACCGGCGCTTCGCTCCGTTACAGAAATCGCGCCAAAATCACCGTTCGTATGTGTGAACAGAAGCCCTATCCGGTACAGTTTTCGTGCCAACGCAAAAGTTATACGGAAGAGAGTGAACATAGCCTTATTTTCATCGGCAACTTATGTACTGTGGTCCAAAGAGAAATTGAAGACAGTACTTATGGACATTTTTTTTGGAAGGGTAAACGAGGTGTATTATCATAGGAGATGTGCAAATGGCGAATGGCTATGCTTCATAACTATCAAGAACAACCAATAAAAGAAAAATTAAACGTTCTTTTACTTCCGACCCACTGCCGCAATGAATTTCATTACTAATCGATACTAATCATAGAGATCCATACCACTAAACATTCAGTATTAGTCACTATGGTAAGTACAGTATATACATCACCTTCACTATATACATTAGCCATCGCCTTGATAATTGTACATCATTACACACTTACATTAGAGAGCTTTAGATTCCGAGACGAGAACGACTATACGAGAACGGGGTTTTACCAATACTAAGTACTGCACACGCGCGAACCAACGTCATTTTGGTGGGAAAATGTGATAGCAATCGTCATTCTACTAAGAGTTTTAGAGAGAACGTCGTAGTGGCGAAACAAGTTATCAAACGTAAGGAATATTATCATTTAGCGATCGGGTGAGGGCTTTATCTCCTTCAACGGAAATAAGCGAACTAGCCTTTGTGGTGAAAAAGAGTACATTGAAGCTTTCCGGGGTGTCTATATTTAGAGAATAGGCGAGAAAACTTAAAACTAACAATCGTCCTCGTCCTCGCATCTAAAGCTCTCTAATATGATACCAAAATAACAACATTTTTGTAAAGCTCCTAGGCAAACAAGGTCTAATACGGTTACATTGTAAGTTAACTTATCAGTGTGACGATTCGAAATAATGGAAGATTTCTTGCATATATTACTAATAAAATTTTCAAATATGATTAAAGATACAAAGCTGTGAGCATTGCAATATAAATGGTGAAATCCAATCTCATTATTTCATTTGGCGTAAAATAATTGGACTTTCCTACGAGGAAAAGGGTGAGCGATTCCCAAATTGTCGCACAAAATTAAATTAAAATTGAATATTCCAGAGAGTATGATTCAACTATAAATCGCTATATTGAAGGGTTAGCTTTACCACTCTACTCCTAAATTCTTCTAAACTACGTTGCACGTTGTCGCACAAAATTAAAATAAAATATTCCGGAGAGTATGATTCAATTCAAAATCGCTCTGTGGACGGGTTGGCTGTACCAGTCTACTCCTAAATTCTTCTACACTACGTCGCATTTACTTAAAAAAATTTAAAGTTAAAAAATTATTCGCCACCGCCACTGTGAATTGTAAAAAATTATTCATATCAAAATATACCTTACTTTCCCGGTATTGGCGCAGAAAAAATTGCGCGTATTTACAAGAATGTAAAATAAAAATACAAAGGCATTCGAATTTCCTTTTCAAAAATAATTTAAACAGAGTTCTAAAATTTTCACGAATAATCAATCATAATCTCAGTGTTCCACCAATCAAATGCTTTGAAGCTGCTAACAATCTATACCGCTGGCGTAGATTGCGGGCACGTACGTGCTCGTTAAGAATTTCCTCAGTGTGATTGGCGGGAAACCAGCCTTGTGTTCCATCGCATAACCTCTCGCCATGATACCAACCTGAAAAGAAATAGAATATTAAATAAATAAACTTTGAGTTTTTGTAACAAGTCGCCACTAAAGAAACGAGAAAGAGACTGGGCCGTGTTAACTTTCGCAAAGACTTTTGGGATTGTAACAGGAGACAGGGTAAAAAATTAGCCAATACGGACTTTAATATCCAACGACGTGACCGCATCGAGAACGTAAAAAAAAAAAGGTTTAATAAGTCAAAAAACAACTTTGCACGTGCATCACACTTCTTCGTACATTTCTGTGCCTTTTTTGCACGAGTGCCTTATTTCGCGTTTTATAGAGAACGTAAACTAGCAACGACGAAATTTTATTTCCCTTTCTGGACTTGGATATGGTCTCTTGGAATTCAACTTCAAGGGGATTCACCTACATTTGACAAAGTAAGTTGGTAGGAATAATGGAAAATAGATTAGATTGAGGACCCACTATGTTTCGATCTTTTCAATGATTCGAACCCATTTCGCTTCCCCAGAAGGTTCGCAAAATGGGATAAACTTGCAATAGGCCAAGTTACAGTTGTATGCAAGACAAACTAGCCTGAAAGTAGAAGCAAGGCTGGCGGATACTTTGTGTTGATAGTTTTTAGCTTAACATTGATTATAGTTCCACTAGTGTGCAATTTGTGTTATGATTTTAAATTATTTGGATAAAGTCGATGTACATAGGACTGTATAAGACTCCAAATAAAGCCTTGTCTTGTCTTGTCTTGTCTTGTCTAGAAACCTCTCTGGGGGATGGGGGATGGGGGATGGGGGGGGGGGGGGGGGGAAGAGAACCTTCTCGCAGGCTAATTTGAATTGTGCATGTGTGAAAGGCTGTGTATAAGTTCACTTACCATCCGGGAGTTTTTTCAGCACATTAATGACGTCACCCTCGTAAAGTGATAGTTCATCTGGCTGTTGGGCAGTGTAGTTATGAAGCGCGTTTACTTGAGGGCAATCTATGAAACAAATGTTGCATGAAAATTAATCATCATCGTTTTCCGCTAATGCGTTTACAGTGATCTCTGAATTTTCAAAAAAATTAAGCCAGGAAAGTTCATTTTCTCTTCGAACCACCCTGACAGGTAGAAACAACAGAATCGGTATTTACAAAAAAATTCCAATCAGAGTCGAATTGTGACTGAAAAAGAAATCATAAAACCAACTGCATGGAAGCGCGGGAAAACGGGAGGCGCACGTCTCGAAAGCTTTCATTTCTGATTGGTTGGGAAGAAAACGTGATATTTTTTTGGCCAATCAATACATAACTAACTGACAATCGCTCTCTTGTAATCGTTACTGAGGGCGATCAGGCCCTCAGTTTAAGGACGCGAGTGCGAAGCGCGAGACATCAGAGAGGAAGGAAAAGAGAAAAACACTAATTTTTTTCAATTTTCGAAGCAAGGACCAACGTTACAACTAAAATAAAAGGACCGGATCCTAATAAAGGATCTTATCAGCTAAAAATTAAAATATAGAACACAAGAAGCAATGCTGTTGTTACAGTCGGGAGTATATATTTTTTTGTGACCAATATTTAGGAAGGCACGGCTTTCCTTCTTCAGGGTCTTACATACAATCATGTAGGACCCTGAAGAAGGAAGGCCGTGCCTGGCTTTCGAAATTTTGGTAACAAAAAATATATATTCCCGACTGTAAAATCAGTCTTGCTTCTTTTGTTCGTTTTTGTTTTTTACGCCTGTGTTGCGCTTCACGCGAAGGGCCCATTCACCTCGCTTAGCTCATGAGGCGCCTGTTATGCAAGCTATGTTGTACGTGTATTCTTCTCATAGGATATTTAGGATTCAGTTCATAACACTGTCCTTACCCCAAGATGCGTACACGGTTTCGCCCTCTTGCTCGGCGGCTGGCGGTTTGAACGCTTCCATCCAACGCGTTTTGTCCGTTCTGAAAGGCCGAAGAAAAAAATTATTGGCACCCAAAAAGGACGGAGGAAATTGAGCTCAAAGGGGCTCATCACGATTGTCTGAGTTCATTTTGTTAACAATGCCAAATTATGCGACTTCATTCGCAATGGAACTTGAGAAATTATATGCGAATGACAGATCCCAGCTCCTCGTTAAGCAAACATGTCTCCTACGAATTACAGTGGCGGATCCAGGGGACGCCCCCCCCCCACCTTATTTTTAGACCAAACTGAGGCCCGAAGGGTCGAAAAAAGGTTTTTTGGAGACCGCTCGCCCCCCCCCCTTCCCCACCCTACTTAGTTTGCCCATCCGCGCCTCCTTTTGTACTTTCTGTGTTATTTATCCCTTTGTGTCATCTTTTAAGAGGTTATTTTTATGTTTCACTCAGTTTGGTGGCGTTTCTAGTGTTTGAATCTTGATAAATTTTGTGACAAAATTCCTTTAAGAAGAAATTAGACAACTGTGTATAACAAAAATTAAAAAGTGAACATCAGGTGACACATAATATTAGAACTACTTACTCGCTGTTGGCAGCCATCAAGAACTCCTTGGTTTTACTGTCAGAATTCTCTAACAATACCAACGAGAACACGTGATCTAAACTCATATCCAATTCCTGAGGTTCTTCCACTTGGGTCATGTTACGTGTGGCGTAATCCAGAACTTGAAACCGATTCTCACTGATAAGAAATTAGTAGATTAGCTTGATAGGGAAAACAAAAGATGAAACTTTAACGATAATTAAATAATATTAGTCTAAGCAAATATCTCGGTAAACATCAGCTAACTTGTGACTTTGATTTTATCAACTTCGCTAAGACAAAGACAAAAAAATTGAACGAAGGACCCTTGCAACAGCCCGCGTAGACAATTATAACAAGCTTAAAGCATCCGCAACAATCAATTAACTTTCATACCTTTTCTTTTTCGCCACGAGTAACAAATCGTTGAAAAGAAACATGTAAATAGATTTCAATTTGGGTTTTAGTCTCTTTAATGGGCTCTTGGAGTCCTCCACAACTTGCATAAGATCACCTCGTCTGAGCAGATATCGAGACGGTGTCGCTAAAGCGAGAGGCTGCAAAAATATACGAGTTATCAACTTGTGAGTATTATTGAATACTTCATCACTACAACTATGCTAAGTATATATATCCTGTTATGTTCATCTCGCTATTCTGATATTTGAAAAATTATACCTTGGTCCTTATTAGACATCGATGAGAATTAAGGGGGCAGTCTGCTGGTTGTGGTTTTGGGGTGGGGGGGTGGGGGGGGGGATTTAATTTTTTAACAGCCCCATAATCCAATATTTTTCAATTTTCAAAAATATTTAAAATCCACTCCCCCTAATTTTTAGAGTGATTTTACTTAACCCATGAAATAGGTAATAGAATACTACACGCTACGGGCCCTTGTCAGACGGCGGCCATTTTGTCCCGAGAGACTAAAGTATCGTTGTTTTACCTGTCTAGCCTCGCTCCCAAGTTTTTCACTGCGAGGTCGAGGGTAGTAAAACAAAGATTTTTTCAGTCTCTCGGGACAATATTGTCACCGTGTGAATTAGGCCCATTATGTTCTAACAGACCTTTTAACCGATACAGCGGCCATATTGAATAAATTCGATTTAAGGCGTACTATACGATGCCCAGGGGGCATCAGCACATTTCGTTTGTATTTTCGAGCGCTTTTCGGGACATTTTTTCTTAAAGTTTTCTTAGAATAAGATTCTAATGGGAAAAAAGATCCTTGTGCCGTGTTTGGATGTAATAATGATCGCCTTTTTCCCGAGAAATATACAGTGAAAGACCATATTTCTAATACTAAACTAGAAAAAGGCGATCATTATTACATCGGCACAAGGATCTTTTTTCTCATTACAACCTTATTCTTAGAAAACTTTAAGAAAAAATGCCCCGAAAAGCGCTCGAAAATGCAAACGAAATGTGCTCATGCCCCCTGGACATCCTATAATATTCCTTAAAATTAATTCAATATGGCCGCCGTATCGGTAAAAAGGTCTATTCCCTTGTCTTCTTTTGTTTACTTGTAGCTATTTTGCAGTAGTTGTTATTCTCAGTTTCACTGGTAAAGTAAAATCACTCTATACATTCAAAACATTCAAAAAATCATCGAAAAATTTAAAACAATTATTGAACCAAGGACTCCAATCTAATTGAGTCATTTTTTGATTGAATGAGATCTTGGCTAGATATTTAAGAAAAAGGGCGGAAATGAACGAAAAACAACGCTTTTTACTAGACTGTCTTATTACTTGAAAACCACTCACATCAAAGAGTGAAACATAACAGAAAATACCACACAAACATACATACAAAAACCTTTTTAATGCGCTCGGTTCCTATCCTAAGTAATAAGCAATCAAGCTGTTTTCTAACCTTTGTTTTGAATTCTATTTGTGTTTGCAAAACACAGATTTCCTCCATTCGTTCCATTTTTCTTGCCCCTTCATTGCAGTCATTTACAATCTACAAAATACACATCGTAAGCCTCCAATTACATTGAGTCCTGAAGATATCCCAAACTCAGAGAGCAGTATAAGTTAAGAGTTTGAGAAGGAAATAATATTTTTTTTTAGCACAGGGGACGAGGAAGTGGGGTAAAATGGAAATAAATGCGTATGTCCGTGAAACAACAATCTTAACATGTCCTTACTCATCAGCAAGGTGTCAAAGAAAAGATTTTTTTAATCATGTTGAACGAAACCAGGGAAGTGCGAAAGACGATGCGGCATCTCCGCGATATCCACGGGGTACAAGTGGCGACAAAAACCAAAATTAGATGAAGTTTTTGTTCAGTGTTACTCACCTTATTGATAGCAGCTAACGCCCGGTTTGATCTGTTAAACTCCTCACTTCCAGCTTCACAGTGTTGACAGATGGCCTAAGAAGAGAGGTACAAAATAATGACAAAAATGTCAACAAAAAATTTGTTAACACCAGGAGAGCCAGAAACGTCTTTAGCGTGTGGGTTTGGTCAAATATACAGTTATTTCCACACTCTCACCTCAGGATTGGCACAAATAATAGACACGCTAAGTCAGACACCTTTTCCCAAAACTTGCCGCATCGAATTCCTAACCCCTTGAACGCAGCATAGTTCCATCATTTAACTATCTTCTATGCCCAAAGAAAGAAAAGTTTTGCTGGGTTAAAGACTTTGACTTGACCTTGGAGTACCCAGGGTATCGGCCATTTGGAGGTCGCGCAGAAGACAGAGTCGGTGGCGTTTCGAACTGCACTATGGAACTGTCCTAGTGGACGAATTTTGATCCAGTTTTCTGCGCAAAAATGTGACAACCAACCAAAGATGACCTTGCGTTCCAAAACAATCCCGTAGTGCATTTAGACATAGCGATACCAGTCAAGTCTTTCCGTGCAACTTGCAAATGACTATTTTGCCACTGTAGGAAACGAGAAGAAAGCTGGACGAGGTTAAATCTCGCAAAGCCTTCTAGCATCGCTGCTGGGGACGCGCCGGTGAGCTATTGGCCCATTATTTTCCTTCGCTAAAAACAGTCCTAGAAGTCTTTGCGAAATTTAACCCGGCTCAGACTCCTCATTTCTACAGTGGTGAATGCCTGGTAGAGATGATGAAATTTGGAATTCGATATTCAAAATACTTACATTCACAAGCAAAGGAAGTCTCGTTATTCTCTGCATGGGAAGAACAAGAAATGACTGCAGTGTCAAACCCTGTACTTCCCTTCTGCTTTGTAGTCTCTTCATAGCCTCCGAAAAACGCACACTCTTTCTGTAAAATAACAAAAAAACTCCATGTTCAGTTCTCAACACAGCAAACTGCAGAAATTGTCCCCAATTAGTACTTTCGTGCTAAATACATTGACACTCAAATAAAGTGCCAAAAAATTTATGTTCGAATAGCGGCTTTGAGACACTCGTGAAAGACACTAACGAGTGAGAGCGGTACCAGAACTAGCTTTCTTGTGTACAAAAAATTGTTAGACAAAACATGTATGGCGATTGACATCCCTATCTTTCACTGTGAAATCCTTGTATTAACTTGACAAGCATTTTAACAGCTCTATCCTGGCAGAGATAAAAATTAATCGACTAAAAAAACGAGAGCTGTAGTTACCTTTAAAAAAATGATCACGCTTCTCAGTGGCGTATCCAAGGGAGGGGCCCGGGGGGCCCGAGTCCCCCCTTATTTTTAGACCAAACTGAGGACCGAGGGGCTGAAAAATCTTTTTTGGGACCCCTCCCCCCATCTCAGGATCTGGATGACTGACCACCCCCCGCCCCCTCATCTGACGGGTCTGGATCCGCCACTGCTTCTTACAATAACGGCTGTTTAATATTTGTTGTTCTTGTTTGCACCAAGTGTTTTTAGACTGGTTCACCCTGTGAGTACAGCTTTTTTGGTGAGAAGGAGAAAAGAAAGCTCTGCCTGAATCACGTCAACTCTTTGAAGTCACCGAAACCTGAATTTCTGGACGAGTAAATCTTGTTTTTTCGTCAAACCGGTCTTTGACTGCGAACATCCGTTTTTTGTTAAGCGGGTGGTCATGACTGAGCCCGCTGTACCAAGTGTACGGATATTAGGCCTGAGTTTGAAGCTGTATCCTAGCAACAAGCAGCGCATGCTCAACAATATCTTACTCTATTCATGGGGCAGGGTTCGTACTCTTTTGAGCTCCTCAGATTCCAGGACTTTCCATGACTTTTTCCATGACCTTAGCTTTAGCTGTCACTTATTCTTAAAGCTTTTGTGTTTTAGGGTATTTCTGACTTTAAACAGTTCAACAGACACAAACTCTGGTGTCCACCTAAATGTGTGCCGTTTGCGCTGTTCCGTCACTTCGCTCTATCTTACATTGTCCTTGATTTGTCATCGGCAGTAACGAATCTACCAAACAAAACTTCAATTTTCCATGACTTTCAAGGACCGACCATTAAATACCATGACTTTCAGGCCTAGAAAATGCAATTCTTAGATTCCATGACTCAGTTCCAGGTTTTCCATGACCTGTACGAACCCTGATGCAGTCTCACTCAAGTACGGCAAAATCGAGCAAGTGAAAGCAAGGCTCTTCTAGCAAGGTGAGACTACTGACTAAAAAAATACAAACGCTATCTGTTTTTTCAGCTTACCTTAGATTTCTTAATGTTCTATCCTGATAGATCTGATTGGAACAGTATTTGACGTAAACCTCAAAGTACTGGGTAGCCTGTTATGGGATACAAATTCATGACGAGAGACAGTTGGCTAAGAACAGCACATGAGTTTTTACAACTGATTTCTCTCTCTCGGAGAGCAAAAAACTGGGCATTCTTTGCTGAGTTTAAACAAGTATAATGTGTAAGAAAAACAGATCTGATTGCAGAGCTGAGGAAAGTAAATACAGTAAAAACCCGCGACTAAGAACCTGCATTTTTCCAAGTTAGCCTAAACAGGTTCTTACATAAATGGTTATAAGCTCAAATTTAGGCTATTTAGGTTCTTAAAGAGGTTCTTATTTTCCGAAGAAAAATATACATTGTAGCTAAGAATATTTGGAGGAATTCAGTTCATTCTTTACGTATTTTAAAATTTGTATACAGTTGCAGTTGGAGTTGGAGTAATTAAGGCACCTATGTCTCCAAAGAGGATCCTCAATGTTGACTTTTGTTATTTGCCCAAGTGTAGAGAATTTCTTTTATAGATATTTTTAGAACGGAAATAAGAACCTGTTTCAAATTTTAGGCTAAACAGGTTCTTAAAAACAAGGTTCTTAGTCGCGGGTTTTAACTGTATTTTAGTCTAACAAAGACGATATAAAAAGTGTTCAACTTACGTGCTGTTCAATAATGTCACTGATAGATGATATAACCAAAGCTTCCTTTTGGCGTGCCCGCAAGGCCTGGAGAAAGCTACAAGGTAACGAACAAGTGATCAGCAACAAACATTCCAACCACAAAGTGAAACATTCGTTTAGGTAAATACCTTGGTCGTGATACATAGAAAAAACCAAGATTTTTTTAAAAATTAACAAACAACGAAACGAAAATAATCTGATTAAGAAAATGGCTGCAATTCTTCATTTAATCACCCTGGTGACCAAATTAGCCGGTGAAGCTCATAAAAATTAATTTCATATTCACCTCCTTCACAGTCCGAAAACCCGTAACACCGCACCAAAGTGTGGCACAGAACCTATCCGATATGTGACGCTTCACTTATGAGTTCGCCGTTAGTCTTACAGAAACGGCGCCGAAATCACTGTTCTTGAGTGTGAACAGAAGCCCTATCCGGTATGGTTTTCGTGTAGACGCAAGAACTATCCGAAAGTCTCGAGAGTGATCACCAATGAGAAAATTGCCTTGATCGTTTATCAAATTCTCTCAATTGAATCTTTAAGAAACGTATGGAGATCAGTGTGGAGAATTGGTATGTTGATATTAGGGCTTAAAGGGTTAAACAAATGCCTAAGAATCATCAACCCTTTACTTGTTTAATAAAACTGTTATTACAGAGAGGCTGCATTAACTTACTTCTCACTGACAGACTTGATGGAATTTATATTAGAAAACAGCACATGTGACTGGCCTCGTTCTAAAACACACAGCGAGGAGCCTGCGTTCAACTCTTCAGATTTGATGAACTGTGACATCAGAATATTTAGACTTCTGAGATAACTTGCCTCTGACGTAATCACCTCAAACATTGCCTGCAATCAACACAGTTAAAGCACTCTCCTTAATAATATGCGACCTTATAGTTCAAATGACAGTTCTCACTTCCACGATTCAGTACCAACGCGTATATCTCAAGACATAGTGACCCTATGTCCTATAGTGACCCTTTGTCATTGCTTAAATAGGCCATTAACAAGTCGCCCCAAACCTCTGTTTCAAAGCGAGGCTTTTTATTCTCACGCAATTGAAACTCCTTTTCACGCTTAGCCTCGTTTTGAAAGTGAGGTGTTTTGAATTCCGAAATGACCTTTTATACTGAAGTGATTAGCTTATCATTTCTTTTGGTTGATATTTGTTGTCATCAAAAGTAGAAGCAAGAATGTTATGAAGTTAACCATGTGTTGCACGTCATTGAAAGGCACAGTAAAGCAAATTTTCTATTTTAAGTGCTCTGATCGGGAGTCCCATCATTCGTCTTGTAGGTATACGTACTGCACATGCGTGGCTAAGTAAACTTATAGCTGCTGGAACAGTAGCTGCATTCCACAAGTGTTAGACCTCAGGTCCAGTTGAGTGTTTTCTTTACTATAAGACGGACACATCTCTAAGACGGACAACAGACACTGTTGAAACCATAAACGAACACTTAAGAAGTGCTTTGTGCAGTGAAAAATACCTCTAAAACGAAAATGTAGGTGCTCTATCTACAAGACAGTAAATTACAAAATCTTCAATATTTTGTAGTCTTTCTCCAGTTCGCAAAGTTTATACTGTTACGCTTTTATACGACGAAACAGTGAAAACTTGTTTTAAATGAACGTTTGATTCATAGACAAGAAAATGATTTCATGTATACAATTATATTACTTACCTCTTGTCTTTTGCGTTCCTCTCGTTTTATGTTGTCTAAAATGCCACTTTCTTTGACCTGCGGAAGAGGAGCATATCATGAAAGACCTTTTGAATCACTCTACTTAAAGATACCCTTACGTATCCTCTATTCAAAAGATTGTTAAGATGTAGATAGATGGATAACGGTTTCCTACTAAGCAAGAGCACTAACTTAAACTCGAAAAAACTATTTATGTGCACTTCCTACAAAATTAGATACGTTTAGAGAAAAATGAATTTAAATTTCACTAAAAATTTCAAAATGTGGAAAAATAAAACTGTAAAAACATTACTTAAAATTGATTGCTAAAAAAGGTTATAAAAAGATGAGCAAGATTTTTAAAGTTGAGGGTTACAAAGACATCTAAATCTTGCTTTGTTACAGACTCTATAAAAGCACTGATTGACGTAAGCTAACTCTTTATCCAAAGTTGACGTATCAAGTATTCCACTGAATATTTACCATTTATTATCTTGCTGTATTGATCCAAGGTAACATGAACTCTTTCACTCAAAGATTATCGCCACTATTGTTAAAATAAATTTACTTAACATTTCCTTTCAATTTTAAGAGAAAATTATTATATCTATATAATTATCAACAAACCTCAGGTAATTCACACCAAAGCACTCTCATGTTTCTCAGCGTTCCTTTTTCTAGCTGTTCCAAGAAGGCTTCATCATCCGTTAGTGACTTATCACTGCTGTCACTGCCCATGCGCTGTCGACTAATGCTTCGCTGACGCTGCAGTGTGCACCGGGTATAGACCTGATACAAGGGCTCTGTTAAAACAATTGACAGAAAAAGCAAAGGTTATGCAATGGCTACATGTACAAAAAAAGAGACTGTATGGGGCATGTTGACTCAAACTGTGCTGCTCATTTACTTCATAGATGTATTCGCTATTCTGAAACTTGAAATATTGTATAATTTTTGGACCACTACAAGATTCTACAAAACTCGCCACTTAGCCCTATGCCTTGCGTATAACCAAGCAATCACGGATGTAAAATTCTAGGTAGTTTAAATTTTCACTTAAAATTTGCTGTATTCATTCAAGGAACCTCTCAAAGCTTTTTTCACTCGTTTTTACTTGTTTTTAAAGAACTGAAATGAAACCTTTATGTTGAGTCAGAATAGAGAGTACAACGGAGAAACAAGGCACTCTTTGCTGTATACATTGCATTTCCTCCATCACACAAATGGTAAGATTCAGGCACACTTTTAGGCCTTGTTTTCTTCCCAACATAAAATGGAGATAGAAAGAGCTCTGGATGATGTTCCCTTAGTTAATTAAATTTCGCAGAAATATAAATCCTGGAAGGCCAGGAAAGACTAATTTGCCAAGAATGCTAACCTTCTGCAAAAGTGTCTCTTTCTTCATCTACAAAGAAACATGAACACAAAACGGTTAAAGTGTACTTGAAACAATAACGGTAGCCTGCAGAAGATGCGCTTTTTTATTTTTCAGGTGAGCAAAGGCACGCTCAAAGTAGGCATAGAGAGAGAGACACGTCAAGAGGGCCCATCATGCCGGTGTGTGTCAAGCTCCTTGCTCACTTTCCGCTTGCCTTTGCTCGCCTGAGAAAAAGCAAACAAATCGCACCTATAGTGCAAGGTTCGAAAACTGTTTTCGTGCACATTGTAGCTATAAACTTTATCATTCAATTCAAAGTGCAGATCCAAAATCTGAGATCTTTTGACAGAAAAGAAATGATTTTACAAGCCCTTAAATTTGGCGGATGTTGTGGCAAAGCAAGTACCTTCTAGTCGTTATCATGCTCTAATAATGAATAGGTTTTAAAACTTTAATCAAACACTGTAATATTTAATAATCGCTCAATTTTTTTAAAGGTTTTTTGTCATATCGTCCAATGTGTTATCAACCTTGTGAGTAAACAAACCAGACTCTCTGACACTACATGGTCATCTGAGTTTGTTTTATCGCTCGCATAACGACGGATGGAATTAGAATTTACTCAGCAATAAGTCATTTAATAAGAAGGCAACGTGGCCGAGTGGTCAGCGTGTCGGACTCGCAATCCGGCGGTCCCAGGTTCGAGTCCTGCTCTGGCGAATTGCTGGAGTTGCTCTTGGTTGTCTTGAGTTCAAATCTTCGCCCACTCTTGTACATGTAAATAGCCAAGTGGCTGCCTCCCGCCAGTTGGGGTTTTTGATCCCGTTATGTTGTATTTGAATCATTATTTGTGTCTAAGTATTTGAGTGCAGTGCCTGTAAACCAGCTGGATAAGCTAAGTGCACGTTCCACAATAAACAAGCCTTTAAACCATTTTTTAAAAACCTTTTACATAACCATTGTTAACAAAATGTCTTTACCTGAAGAAAATCCCTCTCCATCTGACTTGTGGATAGGCTATGAAATATGAAAGAGTAAAAAATTAAATACCCTGTGATAATAACCATTTTACGGTGGTAAAGAAGGTGAAATTATACTTAAATTCAAAAGATGTTCAATGTAGAACTTAAGGGTAGTCAGATCATGACAGGGACTACAGCAAGGGGTAACATTACAGATGTGTTATTGAGCTGTATGTGCAATGTCAAGACAAGTTTTTTTACGTTTGGACCAAGATGAAGTTAAAGTACTCGCCTCAGTTGTTCAAAGGGTGGATAGCGCTATCAACTGGATAGATCTCTATCCAGTGGAAAGTGCAATTAGTTTCCAGTGTAATTACACTGTAATTCCACTTTGTCAGAACAGCTTGAAAATCAGCTTTAGATGCACATCCATGTGAATTTAGCAAGAATTTGAAACATTTTGTCTTACTGTAAATTCCCAAAAAACTCTACCTGCCCATGTAACTGGAACCCAATACACTTACAAGAAAATAATTTTCCACACAGCTCACCTCTGCATAAAGATCATCCACCTCATCATAAACATCCCCATAATTGTTTGGGGGTTCAGGAGGAGATATGCTCTCTGGAGGAACACAGTAATCGTGAGAGGAATCTGACGAGAAGGAATGTTCTGATGATGCTGAAAAATAACATAAAAAATAAAAATGTTTTAATAAGGCACACAAACAGCATCACCTGGCTGAAAAGGCTTATCAGTGCTCATCTGGAGTAAAGGTCAGTTTCGATAATACTAAACAGTATATACAGTCAACTTTCTTCTACGATCACAGGTAACCCAGGCTCACTATTTGTGTCACATACAGGTTTCATGTAACATATTCCTATGACCTACATGTGCAAGAGGTAAACACTACTAAGACTGCCTATGTTTGTCTTACAGATAGTTGACTATGTAACAGAGATACTGCTGTGTTGTTTCTGCACTGTTTAATCCTTAACTCTTTAAGTCCCAATGGTGACCAACATCATTATTCTCCTAACACTATCCATACATTGTTAAGAGATTAGGTTATGAGAATTAATAATATGATCACCAAAGAGAAAATACCTTGATCTTTTATCAAATTCTCTTAACTCATTCTTTAAGGAAATGTATGGAGACCAGTTTGGAGAATTTGTATTTGGATATTAGGACTTAAAGGGTTAATTGAATGATAATTTCTAGGAAGGATGTTACTGTGAATTACCATCATTGTGGTCATCACCATCCTCTTCATCTTTTTCGTCAGTTGGTGGTTCTGTGTAATCATGATCACTGTCAGAAAAGTCAGATTCATCTGTGCTCAGGTCTGTTAATGAATCAACAACAAAACACAAATTAACAGTTACTTAAACCAGTTTGCACTTAACTATTTCAGCTGCGTTTGCTCACCTATTTTTAACAACTATATTTTGTTTGTATTTTTTTTACTTTCAGTTGTATCAGTACATTATCTTGTGCAATAAAAATGAAATGTCACCTGGGAGCAATACGTATCCACTGAAAGCATGAAACAAGCAAGAGGGCTGGATAATAGACAAGTTCTTTTTTCCCCACACTTTTCTGGGATCAGATAAAGTCAAATGTAAACATGAACAAGGCAAACATTCATCCATATTGACAGAGCAAGCTTGGTTATTAATAAAGGATTTATTATATCACCAAAACAAAATCTTTTCTCAAGGCACAAACTGGGCAGTCTTGAGATGGCAAAACCAGTGTTCTCCCTAAATTTTAGCTCAGCAGGTAAGGGACCATTCATGACCAGTAAGGCAAAAAAATTAATATGCACCAGAGTTGCACTTTCCCTGGGGGAAGGGAGTAGTGGAGTGAGGGACATGGCCCTGCCCCAATAGGAAATTTAGGAGCAAAGTTCTCTGAAATGTCATTCCCTAAGACCTACATTGTGTATTTTACGCAAATCGGCTGTTGTTCTCTTGAGACAATTAATTTAATTAAAACATTTGATTGCAATAATTTTACTCTGTCTTTGATGTTCTCTTTCCAAAATGGGTGCCCCATAAAATGAAATGCTGTGTATACTTAAGTACTTTGCCTTATATATTTATTCATTTTCTTTGTGAGAATCAGATCAGATCATACAGTAATGTACATGTCACTTCCTTTTTTTAAAATCTACTTTTTTTAATTTTAGTAAACCGTCACGTGGTTGCAGGCAGTAAGAAGGGTTGCTTCAAGTGGTAAATTTTACCAGTTACCGCCTGATAAGGGGAGAACACTGAAGATTCAAGCAGCTAATCAGAACACAGGATTTGCTTCACTGATCATGCCCTCTTTTTTAATATTATGGACACAGTCACATAACAAAAATAATTCTGTTAATTATGCCCCATTTGTCTCAGCCTAAACATGTCTTTTCTGTAGAACGTGCTTAAGCTATGGTTGTTTGGTATTGTATTGGTACTGTGAAATTCTCTGCAGTGAGCAAAACTGATCATTTTAAAACTTACAGCTGTAGCTGACTTGTAAGGAATATTTCAATTTCCAAACCTAAGTATCTTTTCAGAAACATAAGAAAGTTAAGTGTGTCTTCTAGAGCCTTACTTTTGACACAGATGCTTTCACAGTTCTTTAAACAGTAAACAAAATAATAGTGTCTAATATCTGGATCTGTCCCAATTAAACAACCACTAGTACAGCAGTGAAAATGTAAGCTATGGTGCTTACCACACTGGAGTCCATTCAAGGTGTGTTTTCTCTTCAAGCTGCTCACAAACCCAGCCATTGCCTGTTCATCTGCTGTCTCGTACGCAGCAGTAGCAGCTCTCTTTTCTTGAATGTCTTCCATAAACTCATTGACAACATTTTCATCAGGTGTTTCATAAGCACCACCTGCCTCATCTGTAGGAGCTTTGGCGGGACTGTGGGCTGATGATGCACTCATGGGTGGACTTGTACCAATAAATGCATGTTCATATGCATATGAGTATTGAGATTGGTCTAGGCAAAAGGAGAGAGCATATGAGAGCATAGTCAAGTCAAAAGCCAGTGATGACCTGTTAATGGGCCATAATTGTTAGTTTCACTATACAATGTTTTACAATTGCCTTTCTTCGTTCATATTTTGTCTTCTGTATTTTTTTCTTCTATTACATATATGTTTCTTTTTCATGCCTCTGTATCACTCTACTGTAATGTACATGTATGACCTTCTAAATTATACAACTGCATATACCTTGTATACTAATGGAGCGGATTAAGCACAAAAAAACAAGTACATGTACATATACAACATAATATAATGTATGCATGCTGTCTCAAAATGTCACTAGGATCGGTGCACACACAAAATAACAGAAAATTAATGTGATTACAGCTGTTTGTGTAGGCATATTTCCAGCACAATTAAACTGCTGATTTGGAAGGGCTATATGGAGTCATTTAAATCATGAAAATCTGTTATTGAACCAAGAATGATTCAACAATGAGAAACTACATGTACTTAACAAATCGACCACAATTTCCCATGGTCTACACTCTTAGAGACCATAGAAATGATATCATAAAATGTTCAAAACTCAAGTGAAACCACGAGCCACAGGTGAGTAGTTTCACTGCAAAGTTTTGAACATTTTATGGCAACATTTCTATGGTCTATAAGAGTGTAGACCATGGAAAATTGTGGTCGATGTGTTTTTTACAATAACATTTATTTTTAGTTTCCTGCGAACTTTGTCAGAAAATCTCGTGTGACATGTTACGTTATTTCCACGGTCTATACTCTCATAGACCATAGCTCTCGACCGATCAGCACGCAAGGATTCGCTAAGTTATTGTAAAAAGCATTACTGACTTTAACTTTGTAATACAAGCAGCATTGTGCCATTACCTTCAGCTAAGGAAACATTTGATATTGCACTCATTGAAACAGACTTGCTGACAGAAAGTTTAACACCACCCCCTTGTGTATGATCATAAGCAGAGACGGGTCTTGGGCGTGGCACAGGTGGTAAAGGTGGACCTTTTAACACTGTTGCTTTCTCAGTAACAGGGGTAGCCCCTGGGGGTAAGGGTGGTGGTCTCCTGCTAGCTTGCACTCCATTGCTTGAGGAACGATTAACAACAGGATGAAGAGTTTTTCTTTGTGTTGCCAACCGTTTTTTCTGAGTCTCAGTCCCTACAACTGTAAATGACATGCAAGAATGAGGATAGTTAGAGGAAGAAGCTACATCACTGTGTTAGCTTTTTAAAAAGAATGATAGCAAATACACCAACTGTATTTGCTATCTTTTCAAAAAGCTAAAATATGTCTTTTCTCATCCATTGAATTCCAAAAAATAATGGTCCATGTATGTATGAGTAATAATATTTAAATGTACTGAAAATGCTTTCTGCCATCTATTGCTACAGATGGCAAGGATTGACATGGATTTAAATAACTGGGCCAAGTTTTACAAGTTTTTATGCGATGCCTGCAAAAATCAGCATAAAAAATTGTTAAAGTAATTTCTGCTCCTATTAAATGGAATTTAAATGATTATCTTCTTCATATAAACTCTAGAGGAACATTTTGTGTATGGGTACAGGTGCTAAGTACCATTAATGGCCTCGGTACAGCATTGACCCAAAACAGCAATATTCTTTTGACATGCATACAGATGTAGCCCCTTTAATGACTTGGGGGCTATGATTTTGTGTACTAAAACTTTATTCGATCAATTATTTTTAAAGAGCTTACAACTCTAAAGTATCTTTCCATACTAACCAGATGTCTCTGATGGTGTGTCACTGTCATTATCTTCAAGACTTTCGACTGTTTTAGACCGCGCCCTAGCAACCACTTCTGCTGAAGGAGCACTGGGTCTTCCCAACAGATGCTTTTGCACTTCATTTCCTGTTGAGGATTTCACAAGGAAACGTCATATAAAAGTACAATACGATCATGTAAAAAAGCACACACTGTTATGAAAGCAATAAAGTAACTAATGAAGTGCTATCAATACAGTACTAACCAATGAAAGTACATGTACATGTATACTCGGCTCGGTTCGGCTGAAAACACTTATAAGGTTTTCAACCATCTTACAATAAGTTTAAATGAACATTCAAGGGAGCCTGTGCTAGTGAGAGAGAAAATCAACTGGGTTGATGATGTTTAATTTGCTACCGTAAAGCTATTGTAAAGTTGACTTTTTTTTTACTTTCTTAGTTTTGTCAAAGCAAAGTAATTTCTCTAACGTTTGTGACCTCTGAGGGCTTGAGCAGTAACCCTTCATCAGGTTGACTGCTTCCAATAAAATGCTAGAGCTCAAAATGTCAGCTGGTGGATCATTTTACATTGACCGGTTTACTTCACCAACTTAAGCACTGCCAAAAGTTTCATCTTTACTCACCAGCTTGAGGTTTTACTGGTAAAACTCCAGGCTTAGGAAGAAGTTTAGGTTTAGCAGGCTCTGCTGGTTTCACTGAACCTAAAGCAGGCTTGGAATCCGATTTATCTCCAGGTGAATTTGAAGCTTGACTACGTGATGGCCTAGGTGAAGGATGAGGAGAAGGTCGTGGCGATGAACCATTATCGCGGAAAGGAAATACAGGTATGGTTGATAGTTTTTGTGCTAGAGCAGCAACAGATGATTCACCCTTGGAAGATGAACTTAAGTCTGGAGGTGGCTTTTGGGGCACGGAAGGTTTATTTGCTTCAGTTGTTGTAGTTTGTCCTGCAGATGCTAAATCTTTTGGCAGTGATGGAAGAGGTTTCTTCGGAGGTAACGGTTTTGATTTGTTACTAGCAGTACTTGGATAAAGAGTTCTTGGAGATGTGTTAGGGCTCAGATCTTTAACTGCCTCAGGCTGTCTTGTGTCACTTGCTTTACGAAAAGATGGTGGAGTTGTTTCAACTTTTAAGCCACTAATTTTTCGTGTGACAGGAGGGGAGGTCTTGCTTGCTACACCAATTGGTTTACGGGGAGTAGGTGGGGAAAATTTACTCCCTTGACTGATAACTTTGCGGGGGACGGGAGGGGAAAACTTGGGCCCTGTCCCACTTATTTTATGAGATGTAGGAGGAGAAGCTTTGCTTGTTGTGGTGATTGCTTTATGAGGCTCTGTACCACTTTCTTTGGAGGAGAGGGAAACCTGATTAGAATTTCCAGCAACTCCACTTGTTTTACGTGGAGATGGTGGTGTAATTTTGCTGGCTCTGAAAAATTAAAAAATTGGAATAATGTTACAATAATAATATCATAGGTGACAAATTACTCCTTTATTTTGGTGCAAATTATTGAAAATTATTAGAATTTGGACAAAACAACCCATGAAATTGCATGCGTATTCCCTAAATTCACTTGTCATCATCTGATTACACACACATGTACTACTTATAACTGGTATTATTACTGCAAACACTATATCTTCACCATTAGAACAGTTGTACTTTGGTTTTCAGAATGGAAATCAAACAATTTTGCCTAACTGAAGGGTTACGGCCTACTAGTACACATAAGATGGTGCAAACATTCAAGACAATATACATATATGTTACAGGTCAAATTCGATTTCAGATTAATTTTGATTTAACCTAGGTTGATTCTCAATTTCCAATGTCTCATGGCCCTGGAAGACAGAGGAAATTGAGAATTATCAACCTAGGTTAAAAAAATTTTAACCTGAAATCAAATTTGACCTGTAACATAATAATTATGTACATACATGTAAAACCTACTTTAAAAAATAAAAAAATTGTGAATGGTAAAACTGAAAGTGTCATGCATCACCAATTGTTTTCGTTAATTTTGATTTAACCTAGGTTGATTCTATATTTCCTTTGTCTCCTAGTCCTAGCAGACAAAGCAAATCAAAATTCAACCAAAGGTTAAATAACCTGAGAACAAATTTGACATACATGTACTGTTTAAAAAACAAGGAGTGTATTCAGGTTTCATACAAAAAATTGCAACCATTTTTCAAGGACTGTTCAAGGGCCACATTAGATTTTCAAGGACCACCGACTAGGAATATAATTATTTCACAGATAGTACATAAATGCACATTCCTAGTCTACTCTAATAAGGCTTTAAGGCTTGAACTGTTTGCTTCACCAACTTCTCTAGATTTTTCAGTTCATTTGTCTTGAATTGATAGTTAATTATGGCATAAAGTGCAGCGACTGGAGGAAGGGTGGCGGAGTGGACAGAGTGCTGGACTTGCAAATCGGAAGGCAGGAGTTGATGTCTCACTCTGACCGCTAGCTGGATTTGTTCCAATAGTCCCAAGTTCGAGTCCTTGGCCATGCTTGTAAATAGCCAACTGGTTTGCCTCTGGCCAGTTGGGATTCCTAACCCTCTTAAGTTCAATTTGAATTGTTTGTTTCAGGCTTTTGCTTGGTCCTACTAGCATATAGTGCTATAAATACTGCCAAGGGTAAATAATGGAAAAATTAAATTATTATCATTATTGTTGGCATGCCTGCATTAAATAATTCTTGTGTATTTTTCAACTTTGCAGGCATGCTGGCAGTGAAGATAGTTCTTCACATAACCATCATTTCATGTTTTCCACAAATAAACTTATTTACTGACCTTGGAACAGAGACAGCTTCATATCCTTCATCAGAGCTTGAAGACGAACCACTCACTGTTGGTCTCAATGGTTCATACCACTGCTGGTCATCCACAGAATCATTAACAGGTCCATTACTAGTATCATTACATTCAGTTACACTTTTTACTGATGATTCAATCTTCGGTACACGAATTTCATTATTTTTTATTGCTTTTTTAACTAATCCTTGCTTTGCTAGAGGTTCCTTGTCAGCTGACAAATTGTTATTATTTATTAATATAACACCCTTTCCCGCAGTTTCAGGTGTCTTCACATTCGGAGCTTTAGGTGGTGGTCTCCGTGGTTTTGGGTGAACAGCAGGCTTTGGTGGAATATTTTCAGGTTTTCCATTCTCTATAGTAATGTCTGGTTTAGGTTGATGTGACCGTTTTCGAGGTGCAGGACGTGGTTTTGTGGCAGGAAGAAGGGATGCCTTTTCCACAGGCTTCCATGTTCCACCTTTATCTTCTTCCTCCATGCCTGAAAAAAAAAAAAGAACAAAATATCAAGGACTGATGCTCTTTGCCATTATAGCATCCTTTCTGTTTAATTATCCCAGGACCCTTTTTGCTCTTTTAGTAGCAGGCACTTCTGTGACAACTGAACAGTGTTTTTGCAGGCTGCCATTGTTTCTGCAAAACCCTGACCCTACTATAGAAATGAATTTTCCTTCTATAAAGTATTTATAACCTGGGTGAGACAAAAATAACTTAAAATAACCAATTTGTCTTAGGGCAAGATACCCCCTCAGAGTCGCCAGTCTGAAGGTCTAAGCAAAACATACACAGTTCAAAATGATTCCAAACTTTGCTTGTCATAAAAAAATCTTATCCCTTTAAAAGCATGCCAGCAAACTGCCTTTGCTGTGATCCTTATGACTCAAGCTTAAAATTGGATAAAGAGTCTGAATTCATTACAATCAGTCAGTAACTGATTTCACAGTGACTTCTGATCGCAGTTTTAAAATTCTTATGACCGAGTTTGAAAGCAAAAGGAAAAGAATTATGATGATTTTGAAACATGTTTATCTATTTGTCAAAAAAAAAATACACAATACATGTAAGACCATCATTATTGAAGATCAATAATAATTTGCCACAAGGACTAAAACTGACATTACCATCTCAAATTATGTGTAGTTACAGTGTAAAGCTTTCAGGACTGCAAAGGAATACTCCATTACCAGGTATATATTCGTTAAAAACCTGGTCAAATATCGCCTTCTATTGAATACTGGATTTGATATTCAAGTAAGCACGGTCGTGACTTGTCATGCTTCCGAGAATAGCAGGACTGAATATTGTTCACTTTGACTCCAACAATAAATTACATACATGTACAAACAATGAAATAAGCGTAATTTACACGCGTTTAAACGTAGAGAAACGTTCATTATATCCTCAGGACGACTTCGCATACAATTTAGTTGAATTTTTTGAATAACTGAAAACTTCATAGCAAATACACTACCATGAGCGAGCACTGATATGGAAAGAGAGTGAAATACATACAACAGTCCACTTGATATTAACTATAGTCACAGATATCTGCTTCAATAGGAAAGAAGGTGTCACTTGAAGATAAATAAAAGAAAAAGCACGGAACATGTGAACGGGAGATCAATTCAAGAATCTGCTAAAGATATCAAATCGATAAAACAACCCTGTAGAATCAAAGTCAGTTCCAAACAGACATGATCGCCACGCAAACTATTTCACTGATTGAAACAATATTGGGAAGACAAATAAACAGCGTATGGACATTCGATTTTCTAAGGAAGAAAACAAAGAAGAGATAAACAATGAAGAATTACAAGTTAAAGAACATCAAGCTTATTGAATTTGAAGCACCGACAAATGAATTAAGCTCAAGTACAATCAACAACGTTCAGTGCATCACTCACCGAAGATCAACCCACATCTGCAAAAGGCCGATCAAAGCTAAACCACATTCACCAAAATCACAATAACCTCCGTTTTCGAACGCTGAAGATGTTGCACGAAGAAGCACTACTATTGATGTTCTAAGGCATCGGAAATACTGTCAACAGGTTATTTTCTGAAGTCCTCAAAGAAGCAAGCAAATGCGCAGATTGTCAACAAAGTGTGAATTTTTGCGCATTTCCGTAAAATAGTTGATAAGAGACTGGGTCAGAAACTATTTCATCCTAAAATTTACAAAATTATTATTTTTCTTATACTCACCAATTTCAGTGCCAACGAGTGCATAAAGCCTCATGTCTTCATGAAATCGATTTTTCTTTAGAATCCCTAAAATAGCTAACAGTGTAGTTCTATAGTAACGGTATAATTATCGGTATTGGCTTCCGCGGAACTTTTCAAGGTTTGACTTTAAAATTCTTCAGGTCTTTCAATCTACCGATCTCCGATTATTATTTCAGATTGATAATTGTTTCAGTTGATCCCCAGATTTATACCTTTGTTACATCTTGAAATAGACCATAACTCTCAAGATCATAACGTGATCTCGGATTCATGCAATACGGTGTCCACCATCGAACCAAAATAAGCAAAAGTCTCTTTTTCCGGAAGTGATCAAGTGACGTAGAAAACCACTGATCCGGAAGTGACGATACGCCCTAATTGAGGCGAGCTGAGAATGGTGTCATTACAATTTCAAGGCCTGGGTGTTGTTTTTCCGTGTCTAATCTGTATCTGATCAAATTATTTTGATTGCTATTGCAAAAAATTACTGAATAAAAGTTAAAGTACGAGAAGGGCCTGTTAACTGCACGTGACCATCAATTACGACGGAAATCACAATCGCAAGACTCGATTTCACCCCTCCCCAATTCGCGGAAGGAAAGAACTTAGGTTGTAGGGTCTGTAAGTGATAGATAACAGTTAAGTGAAAAGAATGTTTGTAAACTTACTTTTGCAACTCTGTTATGGTTGTTTTATTCCATTCATTGCAAGAGGAGATTTAAGATTTTACTTTAGTGCTAAATAGTGCCTAAAACATCGGATGTAATTTCCATGAGAATTTTAATTGTAGACACCCTGTCCCCCCGCTTCCCCCCATTAAAAAAGAGGAAAAAACTTTTAATTCCTTTCGATTTATTGATTCAATTAGGGATGAATAACATTTAACACAGATGATAATGTGAAAAATGCACTGATTATAAACACATTCACCAAGCCAAACCATAAACCTAACATTTACAGTTTCAATTCTGTAGACATTGCTTATATTATCAAGTTTTATTTCAGCCGACTGAAAGGCGCCTCACTTTCAGGTCAGTATTATAGTAACAGGAGTCTATCACTGGTTACTCTTTTCACAAGCTGAGAGAATTTACATGTAAAATTGACCTCCCTCTCCATCAATCAAAATATACTCAGGAGATAAAGTAAAAATAAGCAGTAAGTAGTATATTTATACACGTAAACACAGAGTTAACAAAAACTCGTTCGAACGTGCACGTGATAATGGAGTGTCCAAAAATAAACAGGAAACGCTCAGAGAACTCTTAAATAGGACATACATAATTATCAACTGAAATTGGAGATCTCTACTCAGGCCTTTGAACAAGGATTATAAAGACATTACAGAAAAAATATATATATAAGTGATGACACTAAGCTTTCAAATGTAGTGAATGACATCAGGGAATTTAAGCTAAGTTCAGATTAGTTGATTACTTAAAGAGACAGTTAAACTACACCGTAGTTTATTTAAGTCTGAAGCAATTGAGATTCATAGACTTGATGACAAACAATGAAAAATACATGAGAACTATTTTTACCAAAGACTTTATTTGTGAGAAAAATGATAGTTCATTATGCATCTTAAATATAAGTTTTTCCTGTTAAAGTAAACAATTGACCCTGTTTTAACTTAAACAGGAAGAAGTCACACCTGTTTATTTAAATGTCCTTAAAAAGTCAAGGAAAAAGTTCAGTCACTTAGACTCACCACATAATATGCTATTTCTTCCTTCATGATATGAGCAAAGATCCCCATTTTATTGAAAATGAAAATAGGCTTGTAAAATGTTGTAAGCAAGTATCACTGTGGGACACTTCCAGAGTGGCAGCGTTATTAATCAAGACTAGTGTCATTAATTTTGTCATGATTGCAACATTCAAGTCTGAGGATACTGGGATCTTAAACTGGAGCAAAATCAAGGCTTCTATATCAGTACAGACCATGGTGACATGGAAGGGAGAAGGAATAGGGTGTATTCTACTCAAGGGGCTAGGTTTTGGCACCCATCACCATAGCAATCCTATATCAATAATACAGCTATTTCAATTAATATTGTCAAAAAGGCCACACTGTTATGTTTCATGGTGTTCTAATAATGTCTTCTCTTTCAGTTTATATTTAGTTTTAAAGTCTGTTCGACTCTCATTGATTCCTTCTTTAGTCATTCTTTAAAACAAATCCTTACTATGAACAAAAAACACAGCTTCAAACTGTGAAGATGCCTACAAAAAATCAATTCTCAAATTTATCACCATAAGAGAGAAAACATAATGGACAGCTAAAGCAGCCACAAAAAATGACAGCAACTACCACATCAAGAAACCAATAAAATTTATAAACAAAATTTACAAGAGCTCTTACTTATCAGGAGCGTAGCACCCATATACACACATACGACTGTGCGTACGGCTGAAATCTAGAAAAAAAAAATTTTTCCTGAAGGCATTTACCACTAACACGCTCCCTCAAAGGGTTTTTTTTTGGTACAAACCTGCAGGCTGGTGGACATCAATCAACTGTTACCATGGTTTTCATGCGTTGGCCAAGAGAGGATTCTTTCCCCGTTTCTCGACCACTTGGAGGAACATGTCAGCATTCAAGCTGTTTTTACAAAATTTTGATGGTATTTTTTTAACTGTTAAATACCCTTTTTTCCATAAGCACTGTACTTTTAGAACCGATAATTCTAGAGATTAATAAAATAAACAATGACTGCATTTTCCTTTGTATTTGTGAACTGAAAATGTCCTGCAGAAAGAAGAAGGTAATAGCATTTCTAAGCCCTCAAAGTTGAAAAATTTCCTGGGGGAGCATGCCCCCGGACAACCTTAGCTTGGTAAGTTTGGAGTGCCTTTTGCAGTCTAGTTTTTCATCCCATGAGTACACGTTTAAAATTTCATGCTACTCCCCTCCTTATAACACGTCCAGGGTTACTGTTAACATTAATATACACAAAGAGGGTGCTTCTTGTTGCCCTCTAATCCACAATGGACATTATGGACAGTATTTTGCACAGCTATTGCCATCATGGTTGCTCAAGCCCCCTGATGCAGAATTGACTGGCAAATTCAAAAGAAATAATTAAGGTGTCTCTATTTATTGAACTAAACGTCTATGAAAATATTTTTATGTTCCTTAACATCTTGAGATATATATTGTTTCCTACAAGTCTCTCACACACAAAAAATTGATTATCAGATTGATCATCAAGGTAGTTGCATTATCTATTAAACCAAATCTGAGCTGATTTGACTGAAAGCAATTATTTAATCAGCATTGGGCCAGCGAGCTTCTCAGCTTCACCATCATCACCTCGTACAGCACGTACAAGTTCAATACCAAACTCAAAAGCAGTACCAGGTCCTCTGCTAGTTACCAGGTTTCCATCTCGAACAACTCGGTCGTCAGAGTAGGTGTAACCTTACAGACAAAAACGATCAAATTTTACACCACCAAACTTGTAACAGCAGTTCTTCATTTGCATGAGGAACACAGAAAAGTTACCATATACATTTAAAATATACAGAGTTTAGTATGATAATGTTTATTCTATCCTCAAGTTTCCAGATAATTGAGAACATCATCAATTTCTTTAAGGATAGGAAAAAGAACTGTTAGACATCACACAGAGATTTCTAATATTGTAGGATTTAAACTTTAGTTGACCTTATGTATGAAACTCATGTTTGGTTGGTTTAGCTTCCATTTTTAATAATAAAAAATGCTTGGTTGGTTTAACTTCTATTTTTAATAATTAAAAATAGAATTAAGCCAACCGAACATGAGTCTCATACAAAGTAAATAATAATAGGTCAACTAAATAAAACACTTTAGGGGCAATTTTATGGTTACAGGACACACAGTGCTGCCTGGTGAGTCAAGCAATAATTTCAGTGAAGACTTGGCAAAAAAAATTCAACCCAATTGCTAAAATTAACTTCCTTAAAATGGTATAAGCAGCTCACGGTATAGTTTTAACTTTTTACAAAAATATGCAGGCTACACAAATATTTGTTTATTTTCCAATTTAGAATGAAAAATGTATGCAGTCATGTGAAAACATACCATCCAGTTTATCTTTGACAGAAGGATGTGATGTGACAGTCTTTCCTTTAGCAATTCCATGAGTATGAAGAGCAGTTGGGGCTGCAGTATGAAACAAAGGTTTAGGTTAAAGTCTGCTTACAAACCAAATTGCTCATCAGCCCAGAGCTTATTCCATTTTCCATGGCAAAACTAATTAGCAGCTGGGAATATTTCTACCACCCTCCCCCCTCTGAATAGGATGTTAGTCCATCACACCAAGTCGCTGGTACCTAGTTATACACTTTTTAGGAGGGGGTGCACTCGTCTCTTGCTCTACTTCAACACCAATAAACCACATAGTTTTTTTTTTGCAGAATACCAGTTGTATTAGAAAACTGCAGGTCATCTCAGGGGGGCGGGGGTTGCACACCCCCTGCACCCTCCCCCTGAGATATAAAGTGGAGCAAAGTTTTTTGTCTAAGGAAAAAATATGACAACAAGGCTTGAACTAGGACCTACATTTTCTTCAGTTTCAGACCTCGAGGTGTTCCATAGTCTCCCTCCTAGCCGTTTTTTGGATGTCACGCAACGCTCCAAAAAAACGGCTGCGAGGGAGACTAGGTGTTCCACAAAACAATGAAAACAAAAGTTACTGTGTTATATTCTGTACTGTTAGATATGAAAAGCAAAATAGTAGACTCAGTCTTACAGGGCTGTCAACCCCCGACATTATTGAGAAATGACAGGGAAGGGATAATAGATGATGTCACAATGCATGAAATATGATGTCATTTGTGCAAAAAAAACAAGCAAAATAGATGTTGTTGGAATTGTAACATTAAGTACCTGATTGGTTTACCTCCCACCAATCACATTATTGAAAATGGCATACTAAGGTTTCTGAGGAAACGTTTAATGTTAAAAGTTAAATAGCTCAAACAATATTAATGCAAAATATTTTAAATTTCATTGACAGAAAGTCAAATCTACAAGAAACAGCAAACTTTGGAAATTATCTGGGAGATTTCAGACTCTAATCTGGAGACCAGGAGAAACGGTTCAAAATCGGGGGTCTCCCAGATTATCCGGGAGAGTTGATAGCACTGGTCTTATGTCGACTTAAGACATACATGTAACATAAACTGCACTTATAAGCCAGCTGGGCTTTTACATCTTAGGAGGGCTTATAAAAGGACGGGCTCATAACCCAGTGTTCTCCCTAAATTTTAGCTAAGCAAGTAAAAAAACATTCTTGACCAGTAAGACCAAAAATATGGCAGAGGGGGAGAGACTTTTCATTCACTAAGGCTTTTATTCTTGAGCATCCTGTCAACCAATTGACTGAAAAGTGCTTTTAACACCTCAAAACAAAGAATTTTACGAATGAAGCCTGCATTTACCGCTAGGGTAAATTTAGTAACACAAGTCGTGGGAGACGTGAACTTTTCCTGCTGGTCAAGAAATTCTAGAATTGGGACAGAAACCCATGAAAAAATTGTTAGCCTGCAGTGCTTCTAAAGGAACCAGTTAGCATTTAAATACTGGTAATCAGAGAGAATAGCTGTGTATACTTTTTGTTTTTCTGCTTTTACTTCCTTTTCTTGTGAGGATTGGCTTGGATCACAACTTGCATGTTTTTTTAAACAACTTATTTAATGTTTAGTAACACTTAAAGCAGTTGCAGGCTGTAAGAAGTGTTGCTTCAAGGGGTAAATTTTACCAGTTACCACCTGATAAGGAGAACACTGATAACCGGAATAGAAAAAGCACTCAGCTAAGGCAACAAGCTTTAGCTATAGTAGTGCTGATCAAAATACCTTTTGCATTTATGGATTATTAATTAGGCTTCAATATTTAGAGGTGGCCATGTCCACTAGCCACCTGCAACAGTGTTATAGGGTAAGAGCGATTTTCGTTTGAAATTGAAATGAAAACACTTGAACAAATGTGCCTGGCTTTTGGTTGGTTAGCAAACACACGGGGGAAAAAACTTCATGCCCGAAGAACTTTCTTTAAATCAATTGATACTTCACTTTGACGTCTTACCTGTATTGCAACACGATTGTCCAATCGAACAATGCCTTCTCCACAGTAGGGTTTTCTTTGTCGGATAAGGCAAATAACAAGCACTTACCAAAATCATTTTTCAAGGTCATACGAAAATCGCTCTACCTCGTAAGATTGTTCCAGTTCTGAATAGTTCCAGCTGCAATCTTATCATTCCTAAACTCAGAGAGGTTGTAGACTTCTAACTCCATAATACAGTTAGACTAAGGGTGCCTCAAAAAATTTAAGGATACATCTAAAACTGTTAAGCTGAGCCTGACAGCAAAGTATTAAAGGGATCCCAAGGGGCCTTTAAAAATATTTTCTGATCACTTGCACAATAATATTTTTATAATAAATTGCTGCTATCTGGCTCATATCAGATTCAAGTTATCTTTAATTCAGAGAGCAAAAAACCCAGGCAAATTCTCGACTTGATTACAATTTCCAGAATGTTACTAATAAATTTTTGACAGATCATTCTCTAGATGTTTCAAGTACATTAAAAAGAAGAAGAACAAAAAAGGGCCACTTTTCCAGAGTTTACACCTAGGCCTTTTATCACAGTAAATTCTCTTTACCAGCACAAATTGCTCCAATTATTCTTCCACTTTGCTCTTGTTCCTGGAGAATCTCTTTAACTTTGGCAGACTAAAATTAATCAACCAGAATTAAAGTAAGCCTTTAACTCTCATCAGCTCTCAAAATTTTCATTTAAAATTAGAAACTATAAATACCTTAGCAAGGTTGTTAGATCCTCCTAATCCACCAGGCAAAATAACAGCATCATATGGACCCTAAAAATAAAAGTAAAACTTTATTCTATCAAACAAGCATTCTTCTCCCCTTGCTGTGTTCTCCCTTTCAAGCATTGCTCATCTTGTGCTCCATGTTTCTTATGAGGGGTGTACACATGTCAAAGAAAACTGATTTTCAATTTCAATTTGAATTTCCAAAAGTTTTGGTCTTGATAAAGCGAATGGTCAAAAATTAAAAAAATAGTTATAGAATGGCACCTATAATGTGTTAACCCATTTGCTCCCGGGAATTTTGCCAAAAAAGACGTTTGGAAGCTGGTTGAGCAGTTTTCTTAAGTCATTGTCTGACTATATTATAAAAGAGCTACGTAAAACTTACCACAAAGCTGTTTACAGGTCATACACTTCCCAGCCTTCTGATCCAGATGCAAAATGTTAGCTTGCGAACTTTGAGCATACGCAAAAAGCAAAATTTCAAGATAGTTTTTGGGTTGAAAAGTGGCACAGCAGTCTTGACTTTTTTCTTTCCATTTTTTTTTCCTCTCCTCTTCATAAATTCACTTTTCTTGCCCCATTTCTTTTTTTCTTTTGCTGGGAATTCATTAAGCTTTACTTTGCTGGGAATAGTTTTTGGGAAAGCTTTTAGGATTTTGGAATTAGATGAAAGGAAAGGTAGGTGGGTAGTGAAACAGGATTTTCATGGAAGTTTTTGGGTCAATGTTACATGGTTTTTTTTCCTTTTTCTCCAGTCTCCTTGACTGAATCATGCTCATTCTGGTATGGGTTGAAAGATCTCTTCACCCTGCACAAGTTAGTGGACAAAGTTGTCCTTGGCCATTAAAACTGAGGATGTCACAGGCAGTAGAAGGGATGTGGAATCTGCAGGGGCAGCTATGGGTGATTCAGGGGCAAATGGGTTAATTAAGACAGGTCCAAAACAGACAACTGGTCCAGCTTCAAATGCGGATTTGTTTCCCCAAAACCTTTCCAGTTGGACTGAAAGTATTCTGTTTTTTTTAGACGATTCCAGGCAACTTCTAAGGGACTCTTTTTCTTACATGTTACCTCCTACCTGCTTAATGGCATCCTCTAAACTCATATCTGGTTTGACCACAACATATCGACTGCATGTGACAGGATCTGCACCAGCAAGACCTCCAACCACTGTCTTAACCTGAAACAAAATCAACAAATTAAAATCATTCTGATAAATACTCTTTAACTTGTTAAGTTAATTAAAACTTTAATATGTAACAACTACATTACAAAATATTCAAATGTGTGCTATATTTAAAGATTTCTTGCATCTGTGTGAATTTCACATAAAACTAACAATCAATAGGACATCAACTAAAAGAGAAATAACTGTCATCGGAAGTCTGACCCCTAAGTACTGTCCCTTTTTTGCATCTAAAGAGCCACACCTACCAACCCACCAACCCACTCACTGCTGGGCACAGTTGGCAGTCATTCAAAAGCTACTGGATACCCCTAAAACCCTGGAAAGTGCTATCCACCGGGTAAATCACTATCCAGTAGATAAGTATTAGGGAAACCAACTAAACTATCCAGCAGATAGAGATTTCTTTGGTTTTTAGTGTTATCCACCTTTTGGGTGGCCGGATTGTATCAATCAAGTAAGCTTAATTAATTAAGTGAAAATCCTTAAATAAGAATGACCATGACCAGGTTTTATGAGCCCATGAGACTGAGCACCCCAACCAATCCCTTGTTTTCACTAAAATTGTTGGACGTAAACCTGGTTGAGGTCATTGTTATCTAAGGTCTTCCTAACTAAGCTTACAAATAATTATTAAGCTTATTTATTACACGTATCACAAGAATTTTATTTCGTAAAGCTTATTTGTAGAAATCTATATGCTTTATTTTCACATGTGAGAAAAGCTTATACAGCAAATCAGAATGGCGTTCAGCTGCTTTCACATGTGGACGTATAACCAATCAACGACAGTGTAAATGCCCTTTAGCAGGAGCCCATCAAACGGAGCCTCCATCTCCATTAATTTCTTGAGTCAACCCTTTCCCGAGTAGATTTATAAATAGAAAGGCTAGTTTCCCGCAAAAAGTGTCATATTTCCGTGAGTCTCGTGTGTCACCGTGAGAAAATAAAATTGGATGCAGTCGAACTCAGAAGCCCGTCCTTCGAACGTTTTCCTTTTTTCCTTTACGTCCATTTTTACAATTTTACAGCCGCTGGGATCTGGGTATCATGAAATAAAAGTTAATGAATTACCCGACTGAGACTGAGCATGAAGCAATGGGACAAAGGCAGTGAACTGAGGATCACGGAAAGGTTATCTTTGCGAGTGTGTTTTTTTTTGCCGTCATACATCCCACATTTAAGCATGTACCTTGAAAAGAGTCGACGATTAAGCGTTCTGTGGACGATTTGGAACTTTTCGATGATCAGCGCCGAAAAAGTGCTAGGATCATTTGATTTTTGTCATCACCATGGAGTGGATTTCGCGAGTTAAGCACCGCGTGCAAAAGCGATGACCTAAGTAGCAACTAACGAGGAATACTTCAGTTCCGACATTTGAGAAATTGCAGTCTTCCTTTACAACTGACTTGTATCACCATGAGAGTTGCCTGATAAAACTGGCACTTGAAAAGTTGAACAGAAGACAACAGTTGCTCGACCGTGAAGCTAACTCAAAAGTAATTTGCTAACGGAGGAATTTGTGACATCGCGCTCCAGTTCAAAGACCCTCTTATCTCAAGAAAAACAAAATGGATTGTATCTGCGCCAAAAGAATTATGACTGACTGACAGGACAATTCTCAGCAGTTAATGTAGAAGTTTAGGCTCAATTCCTTCCTTCGAATAGCATCTGTAAATCACTTTTTTGCGAGAAGACAATGACTGGACGCGGGTGTTACAAAACATAGCAGGGAATCATCACACTAGCTGATGGACAAAACAACCACAAGTACTACAAGTATTTATTCAGATAAACACATTTCGGGAAAAAAAAACCTTGAAAAACTAGAAATTTGATTAATATTGAGTCTTTTAGCCGAAATAAGAACCTTAACGCTCAAAAAAATTAGCTAAAGAAAACGAATCCTGTCACAACTACAGACTGCAGGTAGTAGTTAATCATCATGCATGTAACAGACCAGCTTCATGGTCTCTTAATGTGAGACAAGCAACCAAAATTAAGATTAACATAGTCAGAGTTTAAAACTCTCCACGGTATAATCTACCTGCTAGAAAGAAAAAAAAAAGAACATCTCTGAGGGATGAAAACGCTAAAGTCACGTTTGACTAGCTTATGATTGTGTTTGGCCTGTCAACAACGAATTTCCTGCTGTTTGATGAAGTACAATAGCAGTGTCATTTCATCATTGTGATTGGCTCTTCCCACCATTGGCGCGCGAGGTCTCCCCTGGGAACCGTTCTAATTATAAATCTACTCGGGAAAGGGTTGACTCCAAGGGCTTGTATGGGAGATGGAGGCTCCATTTGATGGGCTCCTGCCTTTAGCCAATCAGAGCCGTTCATCAAACTTGCATTCAAATGGCTTTCCAGATTTGGCAGCTTTTTAGCAGCACCTCCAATTTTTTTCAGAAAGAAAGAAGGAAAAAATAACAGGTTGTGTCGGCTGGTTGCTTGTTAGAAGAGTTTGTGCAGCATCAAAGAAACAAGAACATATTAAGCAAACCACAGAGAGATGTTTCGTTATTGAAAATGTTTTTAGTTTCAAGGAACGAGCAGAGAGAATTGGAAAATATTGAGGCAAGAGATCTCGTCGTGTTAATCACCAATTTTCTACTTGGAGGTCGACAGAAAGACAGAGAACAATAATATGAACCCACATCGCTGAGGTCTGTCTCTTGTAACGTACTTACTAGATTAAACTTTTGTAAGTGCATTTTCTGTTCAGCACGATGAGGACTAAGGATGTGCCGCGAGATTTACCATTACTATTAAATTTGCACTTGGTTCTCAGTATCTGTGATTTGCTCTTAGTAATAAGCTTATGTGTTACATTAAGCAAACTATTTCAGTGAAAATTCTTCTGACATGTGTAACAAACAGCTCACGTCATAGAGAGCGCTTTGTACAGGATTATATTCACTCGTTGTTTGTGTCAAAAGCCCTCACTCGCTCGTACCTCGCTCGTTCGGATTTTGACACAAACTATCCTTGAATATTTAACAATTATTCCTCGAGCCCGAATGGGCTCTGAGTCAGCCCATGAGGCCCAATGGGCTATTGAATCAGAGGCCATGAGGGCGAGAGGAATAATTGTTTTAGTAAAATCCAACTGGTTGGTCAAAAATATCAAGACAAAACAACTTTAACTGGTACATACGCCAAGATACCTTCCCACGCCGAAGCACGTCTGTGGTGATCACTGCTTCCATTTCTTCAGCTCCTTCGGCCAAAATAACCAGTGCACTGCCTTTTAGATCCGCCATGTTGGACGAGCACAACAATCTAGTACCCAGACCTCTAATCGAAACGCAGAAGCGATAAAAGAGCATCAGATCCTTGCAAAGTATTTCTAAAGTTTATCAATAAATTCAATTTCAACCTCTCTTTCAGTATTCATGGAGTCTTGAGTTTAAGAAAAAAATTTTTCCTGTCCTGCTTGGACCGAAAGAAACACCAATCAGACGAGAGAAACAAACTGAACGTAGTGTAAGGAATCATGGGACACATCATGGTGGCTAAATTCCAGAGTAGCCTAGTTCCCATGAAGACGTAAATATTTTCTTCTCTACCCAAACATTTTGAGAAATTCCTATATCAAGCCAATTTTAAGGATTATTTAGGTCTCTTAGAGTGTAAAATCAAGCTTTGATTGGAAAATGTAGAATACAGTTTGTGTAGGAGCTTATCGGCGATTGTTTACAAGTTGATTTATCGTGAATGGTGGAAGGGACCGACTAGCGAGCTACAGAATGTGGTATTACTTTGTTGCTCACTGCGCTTATCATTTTACCAGATGGTTTCCAAAAGATTCCCGAGGAGCAGCGTAAGTTAACTTGAATTTTGTTAGTTTGTGGTGAAATCGAAAGCTTATGCGGACAAAAATGCATGGTCATCTTGGCAAGACACTGTCCATTGAACGCCTGTTGAGCCCTGATCCAATAACAGATTGCTTCCTTTTTGATTTGAGTCAGGGCTGACACCTATTGAATTTGTTGGGTATATGCAGTAACTATTAGGCGGGGATCAAACAGTTAGGGAGGTACTTTTCGCTGTGCTTTTTTTTGTTTTGCATGAAAGTACATGTAGCTGGGCAGGAGAGTCATGCTTATAATAGCTGAAAGAAATCCCTGCCCCCCATCCCCCAATCCCTCAACAACTTCAGAAAGTATGGTATGCTTATGTCGTAGGAGGTACAGATGGATAAGCAAGCTATAGTTGTATTCAGCAGCTTTTATAGATCTCAAACCGCAGCAGGATAATAGCTCAGTTGGTAGCTTGCTTGACTGCAGAGCGAGAGGTTGTGGGTTCAATTCCCAGGGCCACACTAACAGTCAGGGTCTTAAAGTGACTTAGAAATGAAAGTAATTCCATTGCCTTACAAATGGCCAAACCTTCACGTGGCTCGGATGACTACATTGTGTGATTCCAGAAAATATCCACACCCCTCTTACTGATGGTTCTTCCGATTAGACCCCCCCAACCCGTCGGAATTTTCGTTCCAGAGGGGTCATGTATAACCCCCCACCCTCCAGGAATTTCCTATTTTCCTTTTCATGGCCTTTATTTGCCACATTTAGAGATTATCGACCGTGTACCGCTTAAAATTAGCTGTTCTCATCTTAAGGCAGTTTTTTATAATCTTTGACCTATTTGTAATCTTTTACAAGGCAATTTGTATTTCTTACGCTGGTAGAGCATGCTTGATAATGAGCAGTCTCTCTTTTTTAATAGTCCATCCAGCGAAACGCGCGAGGCACGAAAACAGAGATTAATATGTTTATGTCATCTCAAGAAAACATTTACAGTAAAACTTCAGATTTGAACTATTCATTGAAACAAAACTATGTGAACATTTTCGAATTTCAAAACGAATCTTCTTACAGGCAAAGTTTATCGATAAATCTTCTGCTTCGGGTCCTAAAGTTGAATTTCTGATACCGTAATTAAGTTTCAATTATGATGTACCCGTCTAGTCTACATCAGTTTCATCTTAAAAGCAACATTTAGTACAGCATAACTTCAAAGTTAACTATTGATTTAACATTAAACTAGGTGAAGATATTCGAATTTCAAAATGATCTACTAAAAACTAACTTTCAAACAAAGTTTAGTGTTAAATGTTTGGCCTCGGGTCCTAAAGTCACCACAAAGTCAATGTTTGTAATTAATTTTAACTTTGAATGAATTACGCTTGCAGTTAAACAAATTTCAGAAATTCCCAAAAAACTTATTTGGGTTATAAAAGAACAAAGTATCCAAACATTCATTTTGCATCCCATATTTGCATCCATTCGTGTTCAGAAATGAACATCAGTGAAACATGATCTACTTCATCGCCTAGCATGTGATCGAAAGTCTCCTCGACGAAGAAGAAACAGATCTTTCATATTTTCGGGCAAAAGTTGATTTGGCGAGAAGTCTGTTCGACAAACAGCTTGCCTTCAACGGTATTTTATTTGAAGTCAGCTCTCATTTGGGTTGTCACGCAACGCTTTGTCACGATGAGCTCCCGCTGAATGTCAACAGAAATTTGCGTAAAGTTGTTTACACAAAGCTCTATAAATATAGCGCCGAGATAGACGATGTTTGTTCTCGATTGACCTAAGTTTTTATCAGACTAATCTGTAATCGAGTCTGCACTCTAGATACATAATCGACATTACTAACCGATGCGCTAAAATTTATTCCCGGCGAAGCAAAGGACCTGTTGAGAATTGCGATTGATTTGCCTGAAGGACAATATTATTTTATTTAAAGACTTCATCAAAGTGAAACGTTGGACAGACTGACCATTACATCTTTAAGTTTTTTCTCAAAAAGGCATCCATTTCTGATTTTTGTTGTGATACAAATCAAAATAATCCACATATACTTGAGTATGACTCGTACGATCGTTCGCGTCTTTTACAACCCTGTGGAAAATTCTTCTCGTGGGCACACCCCATACCCCTTGGAAATTTCTACCCTTTAGCCCCCCACCCCTTAGGAATTTCCATTGACCATCCATGGGGGGGTGGGGGTATGGATATTAATTTTTTGGAATCACACATTACAAGTCATGTAAATGGGAGTTCCATCACTGGAAGGAGACATTAAAGTAGTGTCCTCAATTACAGGCTCTTTGCATGACTCGATCACGTGATCAACTTTCGGTAAAAATGAAAGCAGCTCATGTTTGGAAAATTGTGTTAGCACAAGCGGAAAGACCATATTAGAATTAGGTAACCTGAGAATTTTCAGCTGTATATCTCCAAAGTAGCGATTGCAATGGCCGCTGAAAGTTGGAAGCATTTGCATGTGAAAAACAACTTTTGCCAACCAGTCACCCTTGCATGGTTTTCAATACAAATCCTTATAATTTCAAAATTTTCAAAACTGTCATGGAATATTTCCACACAGGGCTCAAATCTCCTTTTAATTCTTAGCAGGCAATTTTAGCCCTATAAATGCATAAGGGAAAGATTTAACGACAGTTTAAAAATTTTAGAATTTACAAGGATTTGTAGGAAAAACCAAGCAAGCGTGACTGGGTGGCAAAAGTTGTTTTTCTCATAGAAATGCTTCTAACTTTCGGCGGCCGTTGCAATCGCTGCGTTTGAGATATACGGCTGAAAATGCTCAGGTTACCTAATTTTAATATGCTCTTTCAGCTTGTGCTAACAAAATTTTTCATAAGTGAACTGTTTTCATGTTTACTGAAAGTTGATCATGTGATCACAGTCATGCAAAGAGCCTATTATTAGTACTTTCGTGCTAAATACATTGACAAAAAAAGACATTTTTTTGCATGAACTGAGAACAATATTCAATTAGTTTTAAATGTTGATTTATTTCATAAATATTGCATTGATAATTGCAACCTTATTTTTTCAACAGGAGACTTGCTGTTGTACTTTTTGCCCTTATGTTCATTATACCACAAGTATATGTGATTCAGCTGTAAGTATCGACTACTTATTTACGTAATATACAGTAACATAATATTTTAGTTTGAAAAATGGTTGGAAAGAGCTTTTAACCATTAGAAGTGATTCTCTTCTTTGAGATGGTGTCAAACTTGACTTGACGAACACATGTAAAACCAACGGAAAACACAAGAAGGTCATAAAGAGCAAGCCAGCTTAATAGGTTCTACTTGCCACTTGCGAAACAAGAAGAAAAATTGATCAAGTTTACTTTTGCAATGACTTCTGGGAGTGTTACAAGAGACAGGAAAAAAACTTTGGCCAAAATTAATACTTTGTAGCTGACTAGCACGTCGTCAGTAGCGACCCCAGAAACAGTAAATATTATTGTGGCACGCATTTCAGCTCCAGTTTCCTTCTTGTTCTAAAGTGGCAAATTTTGAGTGATCATAACCTTTTTTTAGCGATGTTGAACTTTATAAATAAATGCCAATACATGTAGTACACATCCATGAGTGCTCAACATTTGAGACACAAATAATCAAAATTGCATGTAAAATGTAAGAAATATCAACCTGCAAATAACAGCTGGTCTTACTCAAATATACCTAATGTCAGATGATAATTATCATTCCTGTAGCTTTGTATTCATGTCAAAATAGTAAGACAACCATTTGCAATCTGAAGGTTTGTAATAGTAATGAAGGTACAGTCATTAACCCTGTTAACCCTTGAAGTCCCAATACTGACCAATATCAGTTTTCTCCTAACAACATCCATTGTCAAGAGGGAGGGTTATGAGAATTAATAAAATGATCACCAAAGAGAAAATGCCTGGATCTTTTATTAAATTCTCTCAACTAATTCTTAAAGGAAATTTTTCTAGATCAGTTTGGAGAATTTGTTTGTGGATATTGGGACTTGAAGGGTTAATGTGGACATTGAATGGGTCATAGAAAGTGTCCAATTATAAAATTTGTTATTAACCGTAGGTTGCTTCTCAATTTCCTTTGTCTTCGAGTCCTAGTTCATGAATAATCAGGGCTAGGAGACAAAGGAAATTGAGAATCACCCTTGGTTAAAAAATTTTTACCTGAATTTAATTTTGGCCTGTAAAAGATCTTTCTATAGGTAACCTTCTATTAAACCTTAATTCCTTTTCATGGTATGATGAGACTGCCTTAGCCTGCATCACAGACATACATGTAACCTAACCCTGGTCAGTAACGTCTGCAAAGCAGTGCTGATATCCTTATAATTATTGGGCCCACAACTGACTCAATTAACTACTGAACATTTGTTTCAATTTTTTCTTCAACCTGATTGGCAAATCAACTATGACATGCAAATCATGACACCCCTGGTACACTTTTGAAGGTCCAGCACAAGGGTATTGATGCTTTTTTGCAGGCAGAATTAACCCTTTAAGCCCCAATATCCACGTACAAATTCTCCAAACTGGTCTCTATACATTTCCATAAAGAATTAGTTGAGAGAATTTTATAAAAGATCAAAGCATTTTCCCTTAGGTGATCATTTTAATAATTCTCATAACCCTTTCTCCCGATTGTGTACTGATATCGTAAGGGCTTAAAGGGTTCTCCAGAAGTTTAGTTTTGTCTGTGATGTGGGCTGCGAACTCCCAGTGACTTAGCAGGTACAAAAACTCTACAACTTTTGAGGGGTGTATTTTCAAACCCATGATTTTACCTGTCAAATGCCCATATCTGCCCATGAGGATCCCCATCCCTTGTACTACTTGTGATGTCATTGGTTTGAATGGTCATAGACTATTTTGACACCTACAACTCGAGCAGGAAAAAGAGTTCTTTCATGAGCATGAATCAGGCAAACAGGCCAGAGAAAAAATGTAAAATGAACATCTAAGATTGACCAGGAAATTGACTACTTACCCATACATGTACCGTGCACTTTCTATTGAAAAATTATTAATTCACAGCCCTTACAATTTTTGTTGAAACTTTTTCCCCTGAGTGGGTGCCTTAAGTAATAATTTATTGCTCAGCCCAACCCCCTCCCCCCCCCCAAAAAAAAGAGGAAAGAATTGCAAAAGAATTGGGAAGGAGAACTAAGTGAAATGTAAAAGTATCAACATTTTGCCTTCTGGCCGTGCCTGACCTTCAGAAGCTGATATTTAACATCAGGAAGTGCTTGACTTATAAACAGTGCAGTGCTTTGGGCTGTTTTGGTTCTTTTTGGCCAGATAATGACCAGAAAATGCATCCACCACCTGGGGCCAATAAGCTGGGGCCAATGCATTTTAAAGCAAAATTACTACATTACTTACTTGTGCTTTTTATTTTATTTGCTGTAGGCCTCCAAGCTCTCGGACCTGTGATGAACCTTTGCTCAACATCTCAGTTGCAGGCATTGTTTTTACATTCGCTATGATAGGTACAGTGTACTTTCTCCGTCTGGTGTTCTTTTAACCACGTAATTGTGAAAAACAATGTGCAGGTCCAGATCATATCCATAACTTCCACTTAAGACCCCACACACCTTTTGAAATTCCAATAATTACAGCTAAACTTCATCCATTCCTTGGTGAGGGGGGAACCCAGGGCTGGAACTTGCACCAAAGGCGCAAGTTCTTGAAGGCTGCAGCATCAAGGGTCATTTTGAAATTTAGAGTCTCAGAAATGGTGTTTCCAGGGGTTTTCAAGAGGTATTTTCCATTGCGGATGCCATCAGTGAGGTCAAGGATAAATTGAAGGTCTTCATGGAAAATCGTCCTTGTGATATGCAAAATTTTGACCTGTGACTATTAATTTGCAGTAAGGTTCAACATATGTGCAAGAACACATCTTCTTTCCTGGCAGTTTCTTTTGTAGTGCTAATGCCCAACGTGACACTGAGTTTCTTTCACCAAACAATGAATTTTTTTCACCTAATAATATGTATCCGGTTATATTTGATCTGTGGCTACTACATGCAGTAGCTTAGGGCTTGACAGTAGTTTAAAAATTCCCTTTCCAACTGAAATTTACAGACAACAAGAAATTATTCTAAGTTTACTGCCTACAAATTGGCAACAAAATTTCTTGTAGCATAGCTATGACTTTTATTGTGGATTTGCTTTTGTACTTTGACTTTTTGCTTGTTAATTATTTTACATGTGCTGCAAAATATCTCACTAAAAGTGAGGTTAGTTGATTATAGCTTGATCACCACTTCATTACATCCCGTCCTTTGTGCTATATCCCGGAAGCTACCGTGTGGCATGAAATTTTTGCAGGTTCTAATTTTTCCGATTCTTCCAGTGATCCGCAGAAATAAGTTCCCGCAAATAAAAATTACCACTAACATTTTTCTCACAAAAATTTAGTCCAGTCTGAGAGTAAATATTCTCTAACTTAAATTCGCTACACAAAAATACAGTACTAAGAAATCATGTCTGTTCAATCACAACTTGTCTCTTTCATTCAGAAACAATGAAATAATGGTTTATTGCTTGAAAATATGTATTTCTATCACATGTACTCAATAAAAGCGAAAATATTATCAATGCTATATGATGGGTACTTTCTAAAAATCGTAAAAATTAATTCTCAGCAAGAAAAATCAATCTGTCCTAATTGCGAAAATTAGTTCCTGCAAAACACAGAAAATCGCCAATCCACAAAAATAAATTCCCGCAAAAATTTTGTGCCGCGTGGTAGTTGCAGCACCCCCTCCTCTTCCGTCCCCTCTGGTTTCAATGTTGTAGAGTGCATGCAGCTTTCTGAAGTGAAGTGTAACCCAACGAAACACCTTGTTTAATCACAACATGCACATGACATGCCATTCTACAAAATACACTATCCATTGTTATTTTCATTTGACCTTACTAAACAAAGAACAACATTGTCTGGGGAAGAGGGGTAGGGGCTGCTTTTCCCTTGGGGAGGGGGGAGGGGGAAGGGGGCACTCATAGCCTGTGTTTTTGCATACATTATACATGTACATAAATATACTGTAACATGAACTTGTGCAGCAACATGTGGAATGAATGCAGATCCATTGTTATTTTATTCTCAGCTTTTACTTTTTTATTCGCAATCATGGAACCTGTGCCATGGCAGCTTAAGATTGCATTTCATTTCTTTGGCTTTGGATCCCTCATTCTTGGCATGGTACTGTTTGCATCAACATTTGCCTCTGAATTATGTGTGAGTGTTTTCTTCTTGTTGTTTTTTTATGGGAACCTCAGTAACTTTAAAAAGTACAGTTTGACTCCCGATGACTCAAACCTTCTAGGGAGACCAAAAAACGTTTGAGTGATCAGGAGGTCGAGTGCAAGGCAAATAACTGGAAATATAGGGAAAGAAGCAAATGGATGGGGAGGGAATGCAAGTATCATGCACTCTCTACTTCAAAGGCAGCATTGGATGACATAAAAATTGTTATTTTGAAAAAGGAATTAAGCAACAAATCTTGATTAATATATAGGGATGGAAACTGAATTTGAAGTGGAGTGACATAAAAGTAAAGACAAAGAATTGACATGGCTGTTTTGAAATAAAAGAGATTAAGCATCGTGTTTACGGCAATCGGCAAACATAAGACTCAAGTTGTAAAATTTTCAGAATGAGAAATGAGCAGATAAAAACAGCTTCAAATAATTTATTGTTATGGAAAGAATTAGTGTGAATCTGTGGACTTTCGTGTAGTTATAATGAACTGTAAACGATAAGTAATAATTATCGAAAACTTTGTCACGTGGTACAAATTCACGTTTGCATTAAACACGATGCTTAATCTCTCTAAATTCAATGTTTCAGACTTCAGTACAATGTTTTTCTTTTTCAACTTGTTATGCACTTAAAACATGGTTCGGGTTATCAAGGGTAAAATTATGTAGAAATGACCTGAAAGGAAACAAAAATTACTTCGAGTTTGCGGGAGGTTCTAGTTATCATGGGTAAAATTATAGTAAATGTGTAAAGGAAATCCAAGAGAAATCAACTTGAGTTCGAGTTAGTACGAGGTTTGAGTTATCAGGAGTCAATTGTATGCCAAGTGCATTTGTTAAGTTATATAAGCATGCAGGAAGTGGGAACATCCTTACAATCCCAGGTGTTCTCAATAGTTGCCAATAAACCGGAGTTTATTAAATTTGGTTCTCCCTGCAAAGTTTACATAACAAAATCCCCAGAAAAACCCTGAAGGATCTTGATAGTAGAAGGAAAGTGGCCTAATGCAATTTAATAGTAATACCAAAGCAAATCCTACAAATTTAGGCCCCAACTCCCCAAGAAAGGAAAAAAACTGGATCACAATCCATTCAAAAACACCCAGGCTCCATTCTCCAACCCAAACACACAGGGTGAAAAGAAAATCATTTTTACACCTTGTCATTCGGGCAAACTGAATCTAGCATTTAGTAGCCCACAAGTTATTTCAACTAGCCCCACGGCAAAAGCTTTTTCATGAGCAGAATTGATTTCACAGTTCTTCTGTTACTCAGATTCCTCCAAAAACATCACTTGCCCGTTGGGCGAGTGAAAAACAGAATTCACTAGCCAGATAGCAAAATCCACTAGCTCCGGGCTATCGGACACTACTTTCTTTATACGCTGAACACAGCACCTCAGATAGTGCAAACTTTCAGTCACATGGCCTATTGCTTACATATCCTGACATTGCAGCGAGGTACACTGTTAAAGTCACTATGAATAATTCTCCTTTGTTCTTTCACTTGTTTAGCAAGGATATGCTCCTGAGTTGTTCTATTTATGTCTCTCATTTGGGATATTTGCTCTTCTTACAACAGGTAGGTTTGACACATGTGTTAAGCTTCTGTCTTATTAGGCAAATGGTCTAAAAAAAACTGATACACGGAGATGTTGTACATTGTACCAGCGTATGATTAAATTTTAGGGATGAGTTTAACTTGTTTCAGTGCCCGAATTTGTTAAAGATTGTATAGTTGCTGTTTTGTGAGACGTATAGGAGACACCAAGGCCACTGGTTGAGTTAATCAGCTTACATTGTGTAAATTGTGGTCTGTAATTGTAACAGTGGCGTACTAGGTGGTATTAGGGAACAATTTACTTTTTTGAAATCTTGGCTGAGAGATAAAAGAAGCGTGGTGGAGTTACAAAAAAAAAATACTAGTTTCAAAGCTCTTGATCTCACCCCTCTCCATATGAAGTTTAATGGCCGCCTCAGACCCCCTCAGCCATATTGAAACCAGTTTGTTTGAAGAAGAAACGTAAAATGCGTTATTGACCAAAGTTTAGAGATCAAGATGGCTGAATATTGGCCAAGGTTTTTACTCTCCGTTTTTATGGACCAAAGTTGAGGTCTTATAAAAAATGCAGAAAAAGAGCAAGGCCAACATCCTGTCATTTTGATGTCATGCTTGGTTAATTAAGCATATTTATTATATGGCTAAATCCCAAGCGCGCAAGATAAAGTGAATCTTGTGTTTTGATTGGATACCAAGCAAGCAAGGAAGGCTTGTCTTATTTGCGTATCTCCTCGGAATTTCTCGCCTTATTTGCGCAAGAAAAGATCTTTCTGTGTCCTTTTTGGCCGTATAATATAGTCTTTATAGAGAGGAGAAGTCGTTACGTCATGTTGCCATAGTAGTAAATTTCTTTAATGACAGCAAACCAAAAATTCCCTTAAAAAGTAAATTCGCACTGTTTCAAACTTCATCGATCTTATTCACATTCATTTAATTTGCCAAATGTTAGCGAAATTTTCTGGGTTAATTCCGAAAGGACCGTATCTAAGTTTAGGAAAAGAAAAAGAAACTTTTTGTGTTGTGCTCACCTACTCCATAAAATAAAATGAAATAGGACGTTTCATGTTGCAGTCTTGCAACAACGGCTAAGAAATGTACAGAAAAGCGTGATGCACGTGCAAAGTTGATTTTTTGCCAATCTAAACCTAATCGCTTGCCACGAGATTTGAGATTTTACGGGTTTAAAAGGTGAAAGTGAAGCATATGAATAAATTAAATATCGCATTAATGCACACAATTTAGGCTAGCCGGATCCTAGTATCCTAGTCTACGTTGGAGGCGTTCGAAGGGGAATAGAAAGGTAGAAGTTCGGGTGCACGTGGAAGTAGGAAGGGATTCCCCTTCTCTAACCCCCCACCCCCCACTTTTCTCTCGCGCACCCGCATTCAGGTATGCGGTTTTACAGTAAGTGTGTTAAGCTCTTCATCGCTAGTCTCCTTCGCAGCCGTTATTAGGGTCGTCACGCAAAGCTCTTCCCTGCTGGTGGGAGGAGCGTTGTGTGACAGCCCTAATAACAGCTGCGAAGGAGACTACTTCATGGTTGGCTATTATAAAGTGTACTCAATACAAAATTCTGTTGTTTTACAGGATTTCTGGTCATCATGCTCCCGTTTTGGTTGATGAACTATCTGTGGCCAGATTCTGTTCTCAACCGACGTGAACGGCGAGGAATTTGCTATGAGCCTGTAAAGTGCTGCACTTGCCTTTGGCATATTTAGAACGGTGGATTCTTCTGTTGTCTAGGTTACACATGTTACTCTACAAATCTCGTTCCCAGGGTCTTTGTTTTTCCCGTCTCCTTTTACTGCAAAGGGCCTGGGGACGAGGTAACATAGGGCGACCCAATAACCTACGAATTATACCTGTTTATATCAGGTTTCAGTTAGTCCATGCTTGCACCGCATGGGTAAACTTTACGTTAGCTGTTATAGAGTACTTAAAAACACCAATATTTATATAGCTGTTAATGTATTTATGAACGGAGTCAGTTAATTTGATTCCCTGAAAGTAAAATGTTTCGAAATTGTCCGTTATTTTTTTAAATGATACTTGCCATAAACAGGTCAGCTGGTTCAGCTTGGTTATGAAAAGAAGTAACAGTCATTCTTTTAGGGAAATCAAATTTACAGATTCTCCTCTTGATACTGGTGCGTTTGGAGCAGCTCGGGTTTTTCAAAATACTGTCAATTTTTCCTGGATTCATGCGGGCATTTTCTTTCTTTTTTACTTTTCTTTCTTTTAAGCGCATTTAAAATACATACGCTCTATACATATTTGACTTGTGATCATAAAATATACATATAATCATGCAGTTTAGTGCGGTTATCACACTTCATACAAAATAAGCTTTTTTTCTTGTGTCAGCCACCAGTCTACACAGGAATTTTAGAGAGTTTTAGCTTCACCTATACAGCAAACGGCAAACGTGAGGCTGACGTTTGAAAAGTTCAAGTTTGAGCAGATAAAAACAGCTCAAAACAATTCTTATGGATAAAACTGCATGAAGCTACTAACTTGTGTGTAGAAATGATGAACAGTAAACGACAAGTAAAGATGAAACTTGGTCACGTAGTAAAAATACGTGGTTAAGATACGAGTGTACGTGACAACTGCTTGTAATGTACAGTCGAAACTCCCGTAAGCGACCACCAGAAATGCAAAGACTGAGTGGCAGCTTACGGGAGGTGGTCGCTTACAAGAATCGAACTATATTGCACCTCTTCCGAGAAGAGGTCCAGGCACATCTACTTTATGGAAGATAACTTAATGCATGCAATGTCTAAGTTACGCCATGTGTAGTTTCGTGTTGTCACTTAAGTACTTTTCGTCAGCCAGACACAACGTTGACAACATTTGCATAATCGTTTTTACTCGACTGAGTGCCGCGGTGCTTATAAAATTTTCCACGCCTCAAATACGGCGTCTATTTGAGGGCGGCGTTTATTTGAAAGTTGGACGCGACAAAGAGTTGTTGTAACTAAGAAATTGTTATTTTCCGTGTTAAGCTAACAGAATTGACGTCTTATTTTGACTATTTGGGGGCCGCGGTGCTTATTCGAATAAATACAATATTCGTATTCTCTGTAGAAACTACAGGAGCTAATGAGCGGCGACTTTCTGTACGCGCGTTCTGATTGGTTAAAAACCTATGGTTTACTGTGCCGGTAAACTCGTAGAAAATTGAAATAGTTTCCGTTTTTCTTTAAGTAATGATATTCTCCAGTGTTAACCTCAACAACAAGCTATCATAGTTTCACGGCCAAGAATATGAATACACTACGTGTGATTGTAGAGTTAGTCGAGTTGAAAGCAGATCTCTGGTTCACTGAGGCCCCTAGGTCGCACAATTGAAATATTTGTTGTCAAGTAGTATTGTACATATCAAGTTTTTCTTGACCTCTCCTACAGTTATTAAAAAAGTCGTAGTAATGAGACATTTAAAGTGCTGTTTGTCGTGTCACCCTAAATAATTTTGCCGACAGGATAAGCGCTACGAAAGTGGCAATTGGGGACAGCGAAAACCTTAGACTGCCTACAACTACGAAGGTTTCTGTTTACAAAGTCTCTGTTCCTGCAAATGAGGCCCGGGGCTACTGAACAAAATGTTATACGGGGAGGATCCGCCGAGGTCCAACCCCTTAACCTTTTTTATTATTCATTCAAAATATTTCCCCAATTCTGATTGGCTACAAGCACCCGCATAATTCACCGTAACCAGTTACTTATGACCAAATTGGAAGAATTTTGTGTTTAACGCGGACATGACGTAAAAAATGCAGCCCTCTACAGTTTAAGGCACCGTTAACCGAGAAGACCTGGGGACGAGGTTGAGTTGTTTTGGTTGTGAAAAACAAAATGGCGGACATTTCACTCGTTTCAAGAGTAAGAACTACAATTGGAGCTAGGCGAAATAAGAGCTAAGAACATGGCAAAAACAGCAAGAAGACAACTCGGAGGGCGACATCTGCTATTTGGAGAATATTTGCGGAGCTGGACAAACCTAAACGTACAGTATTGAAGATGAACTTAACATCGATGCAGGTAAGCATGTTTCAGCTATGTTTTTAAAGTAGAAATTATTTTGAAGGAATAATACAGCAGTTAATGAATTCGGCTTTCGTAGGATATCAAGAATTAAGCAGATCTCGGAGGGTGTTATCCGCCTTGGTTGGTAGATAACACCCTCCTCGATCTGCTTAATTTCATATCCTACTCAGCCTCATTCATTAATTGCTAAATATACCATTTTTGACAGAAAAGGTACGACTCTCATTTACCTTCCATTGAAAAGTGGCATCCAATACACCATCTTTTAAACACAAATAAATAACTAATTAAAAGCAGAAAATTTTCTTTTCTTTTGACGGCCTTGAAATGCGCCTTTTATGCAAACTCATAGCGGCACTTTGGTATAAACTTGTTCAGTTAGATTAAAAGGGACAGGTTCACGGTTAAGCGCATTCTCCTTAATTAAATTACTTTTTCCTAATTCATTATTAATTCTATCGGTTAATAATCCCACGCACATGTATCTCAGCGATCTCAAGTGTAATTCAGAGTAACCTGAAGTAGGATCATGGAGGAGTACTAAAATCGCAGAAAAAATTAGTGGATTATGCCAACACTACTAACGTTGAATTCATTGTTGACCCGAAGGTTTTATTCCATGGGTGATTAATTTACAGCTATTTGCAAATATTTAAGTTGATCAAGTGCAAGTGACTGCCAGGGGACTCAGGGGGGTGTGGAGATTGGTTTTTTGCAACATTATGACGTGATCATATTGCTTACGTAGATGATACAGCATGTCCAGGCAGAAAAACAGCATTTTGATAAATGGGCGTGCGCTGAACCGTGAACCTGTCCCTTTTAAAAACAGTGAGTACTTGACTAAAAATGACTGTTGTTTCGTCATTCGCGGTTATTATGGCAACGTATTCCAAGGGTTATTCAATATTTAAGATTTACTACACTACTAACTACAAATTTAAACCGGTAGCCCCCCTACTCTTTTCTAGCTTTAGGCGAGAAACATGCGCAGAGGTTTTAAAAGTAATTCTACAGCGCAATTTTTTCATTAAAAAGGATCCAATAACATCAGTTAAGAAAGGCGGTTTTCCCCAAAAAAGTCAGCTGTCTCCTTTTAATTTACTGTTTAAAGTTTAACTAAGGCGCACTTTAAGTTAAATGACGTTTGGTGGATACCTGTTGCGCGATATGAAATTGTTTTTTTTTTTTTTATTTTGCTTGAAAAAACAACAACAGTAGAGCTACACCGTTATCTGTTTAAAGACAGTTTGGTTTGTCTTGCATAGCGTTTAAACCTTTCGTGCACACAAGGACATTATCACCTACTAATCCCGGTAATTTAGCTCAGTGTACGTTAACTAAAAAACAGGCAGGCCGTGTTGCCCAGCTCTTAAGATGAACGAATATTTTGCTGCCTTTTTTGCCATTCTCTTATTTCAGCTTTTAACAACACTGGGTCCGAATCCCGTTGAAGCCCTGGTTTTTTTTTCAGGCTTCTTCTTTCCAAATTCTTAAATTGGAAAATTTACTGCGATGATCATTCTTCACTTTCATCTACAACCGCAGTTCAAAAATAATTTATTTCATATACTTCACAATACTGGGTTTATTTGTCAGAACATTGTTCGTTACCGATCTCTCTTTTCGATTTAAATCTTTATGTAATTTTTCCATATATTCCAGTGATGGTACCAGACTGGAAAGGTCAAAATAGGGGCATCTAATCTTAACTTGACTCTGAAATGATGACCTACTGAAAGAGTCAGTCACCCTTAACTACATCTTCCATTAACAACGCAGCTGAACATAAGGTTCATTAGGGTAAGAATTTCAAATCATCAATAAGGTCTTTGACTGATAAAACAGAACTGCTTGCTAACATTGAAACATCTACAAGAGAGAGGGATCAGATCTCGAGGTTTGACATACTGTTAAAAAGGTTGGTACGTTCGTTATTTGTTGCTGTGGTTGTTCTTGTTTTTATTTTTTGTTATTGTCTTTGTCTGTCTTTTCCATGGCCAACTTTCAATCGCACTTTTTTGACACCAATCACTCAACGTTCATTCACGACCATAGCGGAAAAGAGAAAATAAAAAAAAACTGGACGCTCGCAACTGAACTTTTACCAGCGTTGAAAATTCTATTACTTTCAATTACCGTGTTTCAGTCTGTAAAACAGAGAGGGATTAGCTTTTGTATTTTTACTGGTAAGGTTTTTGAGTGGCAATAATAACAGGTAACGAAAAAAATAGAATTTAAGTCGAGTGGAATTTAAAGAAAATCAACTGCTTAACCTAGCTTTCGTCATGATAACGGTTTACCCCCCGGCTTACTGAGTTTATGTTATGTTCGTTTACGTCTTACTTAGCTCTTTGATCAAACAGGATGGAATAACAGGAATATGCACTTAGGAATGCATGTTCTGTAACAATCCCATTAAAACCTAACATTCACCCACAAGCAAAGTATAACGTTCACCCCAGCCATATCTTAAGATGAACCAAGTTTTCCAGCCTAAAGTTCGCCGAGATTCGTGGCTGTGATTGGCTGACTGATTTTTTTTGGTAGCTATCCTTAATTGTATTGTTGTATTTTTTAAACCACTACTATAGGGAGTTTCTGGAGCTTAACTACCCTGTTCTTTTTTGTTTCCTTTTTTAATTCTCGCAAAGAAACTATGACTTCGTGGGAGGGCGGCTTCTTTACTACCACCAGTAATACCAAAAGGACAGAAAGGAAAGAAATATCAGTTGAAGATTAAACCGTGTTCCATTCAAATTTCACTCACAGCTTGAGAGATAAAAAGAACATCTTTGCTGAACACTACCGATACGAAAAAAAAAACTTGAAAAATCGAACTAAGGGCCATTATTGATGACTTGTAAAGCATCTCATTGAGGCCGAATCCAAAATCTTTAAAAATGATTGGCTAATAGCTCGCCGGCTCTATAGCATAAAGATACACCAACAACGTTTTGCTCTAGGAACATGACACTGTCACAGTTGCGGAGAAAATCAACTCGTTAAATGATAAGGATGAATGTATGAAAATCATATCTTAGAACTGTGGTTGTGGAATCAAATTAAAAGAATCACTGTTATTTATAGAAAGGCGTTTCTCTTTGTAATTGTTATTACCGCGGTAATCTTTTAACATTACAGTCAACTGTCGCCTTGCGGACACCCCGATAATACAAGCAGCAATTAAACCCCAGGCAAACATAAGTTACAGATGTTTGACCGAAATAAACTCCTGTTATTTCGGGCGGAACTCAAGGTCCCTAGAGTCTCCGCTATAAAGAGAGATGACTGTAATTCTCCATCTCCCAGTCCTGAAATATGACCTTGATTTTGATATGTGATATGATTTTGATGATGATGGTGATGCTGATGATTCATTATTATTTCTGGCCGCAGTGAGGCCATTTGGCTCAGTTCAACTTATTACAAAACCGTTTGCCACGTCCTGCAGACAAAAAACTTTTCCCGAAAATGTATTTGCTTAATTCTAGAAAACATGATTTGCAGGTCATTTAAGTTCAATGTTTCTTTCGCCATAATACGGTCAACTCCCTTTATGGTGGACACTGTAGGGACCTTGAGTCAGTGTCCTCATCAGCGAGGGCCCGTAATAGCGGAAGTTTATTTCATTTAAACATCTGTAATTTATTTTTGCCTGGGGTTTAGCTGCTGTCCGTATTAGCGGGGTGTTCGCAAGGCGAGGGTTGACTGTAGAAGGAACATGGTTAATAGTAACCTCACTTTAATCTTAACTTTAAAGGGTTCTTTACAACGAAACTTATGTGGACTTCTTTGATTTTTCTGCCATTTTTTCTGGCTTTGGCCGTCGATCGCGAAAGCCAAGGTACGTTAATGTGCATTTACTTAAATGAAGTTTTAAGTTTTGATCTTTAAATTTGAATCTTTATTGCTTACTTACCTTAAATGATTTTCATTTAGAAGAAACTCTTAAAAAGAAAAAATATATCGCTCTCTTTGAGGAAGATTTGAAGCACATGGAGTGTGCAGATGAAAAAGTACGTATTTAAAAAGTGATCAGACGGGAAACTTCACCCATGTACAATACGTTTTAAGCATACTGAGATACGCCCTGACATAAAAGATGTTTCCCTACATGTGCCAATCCATATGATGTGTTGCTCCCCCTGTTACCGTTGGTCTAGCCTGCGTAGCAAGCTTTCCGTTTGGTTTCGGAGCAAGAAAGACCGTGTAACGGAATTTTCGGTTTTGGCCGCGCGAAAAATGTAACGAGAGCTAAAAAATGAAAGAGGGGAGAGGGGAAGGAAGGAAACGCGTTTCCTTATTTTCTTCCCCGCCGCCTCCCCGTTCTTTTACTCGCGCCAATTTGCGCGTGGTCTCTGACTCTCGTTCCTCGTTCTCAAACGGAAAGCTTGCTTCGCAGGCTGTTGTTACTGCAAACGCTCAATTGTTATCTGACATTTATGGTGCCGTTTACTCACTTAGTTCTACAGTCTTTTCAGTGCTTTTCAGAGGTGGTTCGCGTTCACTTCAGTGTGAATACCGAGGCATTTGAAACGGACAGCAACAATAACACTGATACCGACTCCCAGAATGAGTTTAAAAGTATAATTTCCATCGAGACAATCGTAACAATAATAACGCCGTAAACTGCTGCTATAAGCTCCCGCGGATCTAACCCCCACCTACGCCTAGCTTGAATTTAAATGAAGTTGTAAATTCTAAACGTATTTTGATCCCTCGGATATAAGCCCCTCCGTTTATTACCCCTTCAAGCAAACCTTAGGACGATGAATAAGATTAGGGAAAGTGCCCAGGGCTTATACATGTAAGCATTAATTTAAGATTTTTCGACAGCACAACAGTGTTAAATCAATGAATTTCTTCATGGAAAGAACATCGCCTTTAATCACGGAACATTTAGGTAAACCCAAGGGGGTAGGACAAAAAAAAAAAAACACTGCATCTCTGTCAAGAACGACTCGGGGCCTGGTGTGGCAAAATACGGTGAATTTTACGACTGAAATAGCCCACGTTCGATATACTAAAATTTTGACGTGACTTCGAGGTTTAGGGTAAAAAATTTCAAATTTTTTACGACTCTATTGTCTTGCAATTCCCAGATAAAATGACTAGAAAGCGTCGGAGTCATGTCAGAATTTTCATATATCGAGCGTGTGCTTTTGTCCACCTGTGCAACGAGGGGAAGGTCTATTGTCCGCTCTTAAATCAACCGTAATTTTATCCAGTGATTCTTACCTCATAGAAAAACAACACTGCGAAGCCAAAAGTAACGTCAAACTTTGAAGGTGTTAATACTAACGATGAGTGGAGGACAGAAGACGCAGGAAAGACTGGGACCGATATTCTGACTGAAGGCCAACCTGGCTGGATGAAGGAACTTTTAAAAAAGACTTCAAAAGAGGTAAGAGTACATTGAACGGAAGGCGCAACCACCCTCACGGCAAATTGGTCAGTCATACTCTGCTGGCGGATAGGCTTAGGTGAGAGCTTCTATCCCATGACACGGCGTCATAGCTTGATGAATTCTTTTTTATCAATTTTTTTTCAAATAGTATCAATTTTAAAGAAGCTGGCATAACTCAGGCGCCTATTCGCAGAATAATAGTAATTATACCAAACGTTTATTACCTGATTGGCTGTCAGTAGCCCTGATTTCGTAGCCTGTTCCAAGCTCCGAGACAGTCGGGTCCCACGTTTCAACGCACGTCCACCAGAAGTGGACTTTTTGCAATATTTGGGGCGTGATTTTGACCAAATTTTCGGGCAAAACGTCTCTATGCGAGAAAAGACACATAGGGAAACAAATTTGGAAGCGTCATGTTATATTCGAAAGAAAAAACTCTCTTCCGGTTGGCATGCGTCGCTCAAAAACATCTTTGCTTAAACTCCCTTCGCGAACACGAAAATATATCGGGAGGAAACTGGGGAGAGGAAGCGCCAGTACACACGGTTATATTTTCGCGTTATCCCTACTATCTGAGAGCCTGGAAAAGGCTACTGATTTTGCACCCTTCATCTCTCGCCTCTAATATATATCTTTTAACGATTTTTATTCTCTTTAGAGATGACGTTCAAATGGAAAAAAAAACGAGCTGAGAAATGTCATATTTTTTGTAGGCTACAAGAAGTCTCTTGTCTTTCTTTCATAGCACGTAAAGCGCAACGCCAAAAGTAAACAGCCACGAGTGTTACTGAAGCAACGCAGCTCTTACTTCTTGTGTCTCAAAGCGCCCATAACACGCAGCTCACTTTGGAAAAAACGAATAAATGACTACTTGCATTTTATTGTCTCTATTTGAGTACCTTTGTATTTTCTTTCCAGTTAAAATCTAAATCGAATGAAAAGAAGCAGGTTTCAGCAAAAGAAGGAGAACAAATTTCAGAAGGCGACATTGAAATTCACTTGGAAGATGCAAGTAAGGTGCAAGGTGTATCTCAGACTAGTTTAACCGACATCATTATTCACTAAATGAAATTTAAATAATAACAGTAAAAAGTCAGTTGGAGCCGTCTAAGTAGGTATAAACCAATATTAGCGTAATAGGATATTAAAAAAGAATTACTAAGTTTTTGTATTGGAACTGCGGGATGAAGAAATACATGTATAGAAGATTATCGAAGTGAAGAACGTAAGAGCTGTGAAAAGATTTTAAACACCTTCCTGTTTTTTTTTTTCTTCCATCCTTCCGTCGAGTGGGAGGCTCGCTTCGCTTGCCCAAATAGGAGAGCTTGCTCGCAGGCTAAGGGGATCTTTAGACTCTACTCGGGTAGGATTCACAAAGAAATCGTTAAAAGGTTATGCTACCTAGGTACGTCAAGTCAGGAACTCAAGTCGTTTGAAAGCTACCTTACAGTCCGCATACAGCTAACACGGGTCGGCACCTCACTATCGGATCAGCCCTCAATGTTAAGTACATAATTTATTCGATTAATGGCGCTTAATAAATTTTTGCCGCTTAAGGGTCACCATTCTCAGCAAATGTAGTAGTATATTTTGCAACAAAACGCCCTGCAATACAATATATACTTGAAGAAAAGTCTACTTATTATATGCTTATTGATCTCCCAAACGCAGTCCAGTTTAGCAGCGTGGAATCTTATGTGGATGATACGAAGATTTTTCTGTCCTTCTCGTCTAAGGATGTTGACCTCTCTCTGGAGAGAAACTCTGAAGACCTCCGCCATGCTGCCAAGTAGTGCTGCTCAAACCAACTGCTGATTAATCCTAGCGAAACCAAACTCATTGTGTTTCGAGCCAGACAGCTTTTGACGCAAGTCAGGAAAACTTGTGACATGAGTGTACCCGTTCTTTGGACAAGCGCTCGTTCCTGTTTCGTCTGTCAAGTATTTAAGAATTGTACTGAACTCTCATTGAACTTTTAATGAACATTTTACCTGCATAACGTCTTCTCGCTTGTCTACCTTGTGTCAGATAAGTTGGGTTAGGTATCTGTTCTCTAGACCTGTTCTGATCCTAAACTCGCTTGTACTTACTAAGTTATTCTGTTATACGTTTCTGGGCTGGTACCATCAAGCAAAACCTACAAAAGTTACAACTGATGTAAAACTTTGCCGCTCGTCTTGTGACTAACACTAAGAAGCTCGATGATGTTACAGTGGCCCTCAGTCAAGAGTCACCTGGAAGTACGGGATGTCTGCGCTTTAGTATTATATTATACACATAATTACAGCACAAGGCATAAAGATCAGTTACAATTTCCTTTGTAAATTATCTCAGAATAGCCCCCCCCCCCCCTTCGCGAGAGATAATGAAGTTATTGTATTGTAAAATCGGCTAACCTCAATTAAGCTGTGTTCTTCCCTTTTGTGTGTGATTCCTGAGCCAGTTTCTTCTTTCATATATATCATATGGAGAACAGACTAGTTTCAACAAAACCCATACAATGGCCCTGGAAAGAAGAAATTCACATCACCGTGAGGTTACTCGATTTGCATTAAATTTCCTTCACATTCGCGGGCTACAGAAATAATCGTTTCCTTTATACAAATCCTTATATTTTGAAGGTTATGCTGGCAACATTACGGTAATCTTTCGACCTTGGATCACCTGTGCCTTAAAAAGTCAAAACCACATGTTTTGGCAACGCACATACCCATAACACTTCTAACGAGAAAGTGACCACGAAAACTGAAACGGTCATATGATTGTGTTATTCATCCTTTCGCTGAATAAAATTGTTGTTTTCCAGTTTTTCTCCTTCACTTGTTAGGCCCTGTTTAAACGCTTCGGAAAAATATTTGAACGGACAAAAAATGCACGAATTCGACTTTCGGTTACTCGGGACCCGCGGAACCGTGCAAGTTATCGAACGGTAAACAAAACTGCAACCCGTAACATAATTTGCACGGGTAAAAAAATTCGTCCGTTAAAAAGTTTGTCCGAACCTTTGTAAACGGTGTCGCCATTACAACGGCCGCTACTTATGCTTTGATTTTAATTTCAGTCCCATACGACGCTATCAGCACACTGCAAACTGCTTTTGGAGAATTGGGAACACAAGCAACGGACGCTATGAATGGTCTAACTGAACTAAAGGGACAGTGGAATGAGATCTCGTTCGGTGATAGAGCGGTTATGACGCAGACTCTACAGGCCGCTGCATCAAATATTCATAAGTTTTTAAATGCGGGAAGTGATCCAATTGGCGCAGTACAGGGAGCACTCAACATGGTGGCACAGTTTGCAGCTCTTGCCGGTCCCACTGGCCAAATTGCTGCCGTCGCCTTAAGCTTCGTCTCCGGGTATCTGAGTCTTTTTGGAGTGGGAGGACAGGAAAAGAAATCTATCGGAGAAATTGTACGTGAAGAAATAGATGAGGCATTGGCACAATTCTATGAGAGCGATCTTAGTAATAAGGCTGAAGGCATTACCAGTACATTCCAAGTTTCCAAGGCATATTTGGATAAGCTGGCCCAGTCAGGCAAAAAGCTTACCGTTTCTCAGGCGGCGTCACTTGAGAGGAATGTGCCACTGTATCTTGGCCTCCCCTTCATGGGAAAATTGGCAAGTGAAATTAACGGTCTCCTGAAGGTCAACAAAATAAGCGATGCCAAAAAGACATTGAAATACATTGAGCTGTATACAAAAATGGCGATTCTTAAAGACATGATCATGCAGGAAGCGGCGACTTTGTTACCTATCGACCTAGAACCCAACCGACAAGCCTTGTTAGCTGCTCAGGAATCTATGCGCGATCAGCAAAAGCATCTGATAAGATTCCTTCGCCAAGGTAAAATTGGCAAGATGGCACTAAATTACTTCGACCCTGACGTGAGCCCATTCACAGATTCCTATTTGACAAAGGTGCTGAAAGTACCCGATTATGATCGTTCCATGGCTGGAAGATGGTGTCTGACGCCACACATTTCTGGTCAAAAGCTGAACCCAATCACGTGGACGACAGACGAGAACAGCTTAATGAAGGACGGTCACCCCCACATTACAACTGCGATTGAAAACTGCCACTGGAAACTTATCCCCCATGGTAACAATCTCTACACAGTGCAGAACATGTACAAGTGTCCTAAGTATGGCTACTGTGAAAAGTACCTGTCGTTTGATATATTATCTGGCGAGGACAGCCGATTGACATTAAAGACATACGCAGATCTTTGGGAAATCTGTGGTGTTCGCCAAAAGAGTTAGGAGTTTTTCTCACCTCCTAGGCCACAGATACATTAAAGGTTTTCCTGTTTTTCTGATACAGAGAATAGAGCCTGTAAGCATCTTTTAAAATACAGTAGAATCCAATACCTCGAACACCCCCTTAACTGGAACTAAGTACAATTTCCCTTGGATTTCATCCCACTTTTCAGTCGTTTTTACTAGACAAACTCGAACTCGGATAACTGGAATTCCCCGCTAACTCGAACTAAATTTCCTCACCCTTGATCAAAAAGTCATTGAAAATTACCCCGATAACTCGAATTCTAGTTCTTCTAACTATACTCGGTTGCCATTCCATTGGCTCTGGTTGTAAAATCAGTAAAAAGACACTATCTCTAAGAGTGGTTAAGACACTCACGAACATACCACGTTTTCTAAAAAAAAATGCCTAATTATGTTACCGTTTCTGATAAAATAAGTTAAACTTGCACTGCAATAGCACTATACACTGCCGGAAGTGTTGAAAAATCAGCGAGTGTCAATTTTTAGCACTGAAAATTGAATTTTCCAATCGACCCCGGTAGTTCGAGTCACCGGGGTTCTACTGTACCTCAGTCCACCCATTTTTCTCCCTCTCTCCTCTCCTCTCCCACCTTCTGAAAAACCGTTTCTTGTGTCAAAATTTCGAAACGTGCTGTGTAAGAGGGCTTTACAGGCTCGCCAAGTTTGTTAAGACCCTACGCGCGCAAAAACCACATGATTGACGAACGTGTTGACGTAAACCGTTAAAATTGTCCAATTATAAGGTATATCAAAAGCCTGTATATCGGAAACAGGTTTGAAACAATTCTTACAGGCTTCACTTCTCCGTCTATCCCCAGGCTCCAGCAATCATTTCCTTATTTCGGGCGTTAACATTTGATTAGTACATTACACATACTACTCCCACAGTATCATTCCACAGGATTCGCAGTAAAAGGGGTTGCGACTCTAAGAGCAAATGGTGCAACAGGCAGCTTACAAGTTGGAAAGAATCTACAGGGGGCTGAAGATCGAAGGAGGTTCGTACATTTTATCTGACAGCGAAGAACGTCGGCTTTGTTTGGTCAGTCACAAAGGTACGTCTGAAAAAGATTCTGATCTTTTATTTATCCCTTAATTTTACCAGTTTTTGAACAATAAACCCAACAGTTGAAAGCCAATTTCCGCCGGCTTCCAACTCTTTCGTATCCCTTTAAACCCACGAACAAAAAGTATGTGTCGTGAAATTAGGGAATAATTTCACTTGCGTATTGTCCAAATCCTTATAATTTCCCTCGCCTTTTGGATTACCTATTAATGTAATGGATGACGAATTACGTTAGCAATCGAGGAATTTTGATTATCTTGGATCGTATCGATCGAGAACTTCACTCTCTCAAACTTCTAGAGCTTAAATTTGGCTTAAGTTGAGAATTTTCAGAATTGTTCGACAAAATACTTGTTAGAATCCTCCTCGATGTACTCTTTGTTTGTTTAGGTTCTCTAAACTGTCTTTTAATGCCCTGACATCTTCATTCATAACATTTTAGAACTTCGTCGCCATTTTGGCACTGAGACGTAGTGAAGGTTGCCATGGCAATTTTGTAACTTCATTTGTGAAATTATAAATTAGTGTAGGTAATAGCATAATCTGTAGTCATATTTAGTATAAATACCATGAGTGATACTTCGAAATTGTTTACGTAATTTCAAGAGCCGTTTCTGCGAGTGAAATTTGAGACAATTGTGAAATATCACGAGTGGTTTTTATGCAAAATGTCCCGTACAAATCACGCTATTAGTATAGGTAATAGCATGATTTGTAGTGATATTTGGCATTAAAACCACGAGTGATATTTCGAAATTGCTATACGTAATTTCACGAGCCGTTACCAGAGTGAAATTTGAGACAATTTTGAAATATCACGAGTGGCATTTATACCAAATATCACGTACAAATCATGCTATTAATTGTTTGTACTACTACCCACAAAAGGTTTGTAATTTTCTCATAGGTATTTCAAATTAAGCTGAAATACCACTGCTCTAAGCCAATCAAATTGCAGAAATTTCTCATGTAGTAGTATAAGAGCAGAAAAACGTTCGGTGTATCCGTTAGTGCAGGTTCAAGGAGGAGGTTCACGTCAAAATTACCTCAGACTCAAAAAGCTAGGGGCAAAGGAAAAACGGTTCATGCCGTCGCCGTTCTCGCCAAGAGATTGTCACTTTTACAATGAATACTAGTTTCTTCATCGCAGTTATTGCCAGTCGCGGCTCCCATCAGAAATTGTCTTTTTGGTATTATTACAAATAACTAATTATGTCTATAGCCTTTGAAAAATGTAAAAAAGAATGCGATATGACTTGAATTATTCTGCTACAAGGTCTTTGTCGACTGAAAACTAAAATTACTCAATTTTATGATGGTTTCCGTCTTACGATTTTACTTGTTATTTATACCCAGAAACCCATGAAGGGCTACGCAGGCCGAAAGAAGTCAGAGGAGTGATGCTACTTATGGTGTAATGGTGTACCACAAGGGTTTGTGTTAGGGCCCCTGCATTTCTTGTTATATGTAAATGATAAATCTTATCGCTCCGAATAATTTAAATTCTTTGCATTGCGGATGGAACTGAAATCCTTTCAAAACCTTTTAAAAGTGGAAGCAACGGTAAAAATTGAATAATGAAAGTCAGATAATTGGATAACAGCAAATATTGTAACGTCAAATGCTGTAACGTCAATTTGTGCCCCTATCGATCAAAGTTCATAATCCTTCTCGATGTTATATATTTTTAATAATAGTAAAAAAGTGTAAATGTTAAGGAGAAAGAGAGATTTAAACATGAAGTGAAAGTGTTAATAGATGAGAAATTGTCATGGAGGAACCACATTCACACAGTAGCTACAAATATAAGTCAAACTATTGCGATGCTAACTAACGAAGACATTTTGTACATTTATAATACACTAATAACCCCTTGCTTAACCTCTATGTCCTTATTTCTAGGGGAAGAGCCCGTGAAACGAATCCTTACAACATAACAATCCTTCAGAAACGTGCAATAGGTTTTAATGTATTCTACCGTCACGGTTCAGAGCACGCCAGAGGTGTATGTATCTTAGTGAAAGCAAACAGCTTTGGTTTAGAAGCAACAGTCGTTGACACGGACGGGCGATATATCTTTGCCATGCAGTGTTAAATTACCCAACGAGGAGCTTACGATAACTAGCATTTACGCTCCAACAGATTATCAGCTTCAAATGCCCTTTCTGAGAAAACTTACTCATCTCTTGATGTCGAAAGCTTGCATATCACACGTCATTTTGGTCGGAGATTGGAACACAACGCTTAATCAAATAGATAAGAAACGTGGACGTCCATGGAAGGGACCCGAACCTATAGAAATGGTTTATAATATGTAATGAAAGAGTTAAACCTTGCTGACTTCTATAGACTACTCCACCCAAACACGAAAACGTGTACATGTGAATCAAAAAGTCTTTGTTAACAGTTTCGCTTCTGGCACTGATCTAACTCGACTGATCTTTCCACCAAGTCTGGCCCAATCGATGCTTTGGAAAAGGAGAATACAGTAGACCACACGGTATTACTGTCTAAATCAAGCGCCTACGGAATTCAAGAAAATGCTTACAATTGGTTTAAATCATACATAGAAAACCGAACTCAAACATGGTGGTTCACTTTTCAAGACCTGCTCTCTCCAATGTGGTATCCCTCAAGGGGCTGTATTGGGTCCTCTATTGTTTGCTATAAATAAACGACTTACCAAATTGCTTAACTAACTCTTACTCTAGAATGTATACCGATGATACGAATCTCAATTACGCTGATAAAGATGTGAAATGTGAATATCATTCAGTCCCGTTTGAATACAGATTTGCTAAATATCAGCAGATGGCTGATCGCTAACAAACTAACACTTAATATGACTAAGATTGAGTTTATGCTAATCGGCTCGAGACAAAAGCTAAACACCCTGACTGCCCCTCCCGTTCTGAGCATTAATGGTACTCCAAGGCCCGCCCGTAAACCAGGTATCAACGTTAAATCTATAGGTGTACTCATTGATGCAATCCTTACCTGGGGCAGTCATATCGAGAAACTGGCTGAAAAAATTGCCTCTGGTATTGCCGCTATCAAACGGGTCAGGCAATTTGTTCTCCCAGCAACATTGCATCTTATCTACAAAGCCTTGATTCGGCCACATTTCGACTATTGCAATGTTGTTTGGGGAACCTTTGGCATAAAACTAGCAGACAAACTTCTAAAACTCAAAATCGTGCAGCGCGAGCTCCAACTTTCTCAAGCAGATGAGATGCATCATGCAGACATCATATACGTAATAGAATTTTGCGCAAGAGTAAAGACATCACCGCCAAAATAATCAGAGAAAAACAGTTCTCTAATAGCAATTAAGTTAAAACTTCAAAAGTAGCACAAGCTAGCCTCAAATTGTAAGGATAGAGAGACATTTAGATTTAAAGTTAATAAAGTTAATTTAAAGTTAATTCCGCGTTAACACAAAAATGCCAAAGAACTGTGCACGAAAATAAGTACAACTCATTAATCAATCTATTGATGCCATACCCACGTCATACACATAAATGTCAATTTATGGTATAAACAGAGTTGTGACACATAGTTAATGCAATAAGTCCAACGGCGCGTAAGCAACCGGACAAGCTGAAACTGTAAAATTCCGCTGAAGAAGACAGTAAAGTCGAAACCGGTCCAGAAAATGGCTTGTTTTGGTTGAGACGGCTGGATCGGTACCCAACCATAAGTACCATCCTTAATTTCCACTGCGAAACCGCAAGGGAGGTTCCGTTACAGGGGATGGGAAGCATGCTGAACCTAGACACCCCCTCCTCGCAAGAGAGCCCGTGCAAATTATATATATATATATATATATATATATATAGGAAGCCTGTGTTACGATTTTTCCGTAGTAAAGTGCTCGATACGTTAAAGTAGAGCGTGATATATAAATATAGGAAATAGGAAAAAAAACTACACTTTCATCCCGACAAGCCTGTTTCGTGATCGCTCACTCTTCAGGGGATAATGATAAGAATATTCAAAACCATCGGCTATATACTTTTAGATTACATCGTTGGGGAAAATTTAAATTTAAATGTTTAGTTGTTACGTAGCAACGCTTTGTTTCTGTGGCGGTAAGAAGA